TTGTGATTGGTCTCCAGTTATTAATCTCTTTTTTGTCTCCACCTTTATCAATTAAAATAGTTCGTGCTCTTTGAAATGATGAAGGTATCTGGTTTGTAAGATGTATTGTGTTATAAATTGAACAGAGGATCTTTGCTACTTTCTTAAGTTTTACAATTCTCATTAATATATTGTCAGGTCCCGGAGAAGTGTCAATTTTTATTGCATTTATTGCTCTCACGACTTCTTCTACAGTAATTTTTTGATTATAATGCGAATCTAAGTCTTTCACTATTGTGTCTTCCACATTGTTATATGACATTTTCATATTTTCATTTGGATTAGAGAAACGTTCGGTAAAACCTTCGTGTAATGTTTTTAGATCAATTTCACATCCTTTATTACCATCTCCAATTATCCTTCTCACAGCTTTCCTACGCCTATTATAGTATTCAAATTGGATCAGATCATATTCATACTTTTCTTTTCTCTTTTTCCTTTCGTTTTTAGTTTTCCTTTCTGGGTTGGATGATTTCTTGTAATTACTATTTTGAGGATAGTCTTGTTTCTTTTTCCTTAATTTATAAAACCTGTAAGAAGGATGTTTAGGCCCAGGAAGATTGTGTAAAGCGTGAGATAAAAACTTGGAAAACTTATCAAAATTTTCAGAGAATAACTCAAAGTGTGTTTGTTCATTGAAGACTGTTAACCAAGAATCGAGATCCTTGTTTATGCGATCACTTTCGCTATTTACTTTGCTTGACATATTGCTTGTTTTATCATCCAATTTGTCTGGAGACTGTGTTTTTGAGCTTTCTGGACAATACTTGTTTAGAATTAGATCACGATGTTTATTGTGGTGGCTCTTTGAAATATGGAGAGATAATCCTTTTTTGCTTTTAAAGAGTTTTCCGCATTCGCCACAAGTTTGATCATTTGATTGATCGACTTTACTGTTACATTCCTCACTTTTTTGAAATTTATGATCTTCAGCTGAGGTTTGCTTTATGCCTTCCAACGATTTATTTCTAATCTTAGTTGTTTGACATTTATTATTAGGGACCTTTAAACTCTGTTTTTTTAGACATTCAATTTCATTATAGATATTACCTACAAGAAAATCCTGTTTATACATCTTGTCCGATATGGTTAAGTTATTGTTTATTATTCTGTTACAAACAATTTTTGCAAAATGTAGGCAGTACACACCACACTCAACTCTTCCACGTTGTTGAAGACAATCTACTTCTAACATATTAATCTCATCAGTTCCCAAGCTGCATTTACTTAGTCTTTCGGTCATATTCTTGGCAATCTGACTGTTGGATGGAGATTTTGAGTCAAAATGATATGTTGTGTTTTTATATACGTCACAGATCAACAGAGACCAATGACAAGCATTCTCCTTTTCCTCATTAGTTTTATTATTTATTATTAAGAAAATAAATTCACTTTTTGACAAATTATTAAAAAGATACCCTGTGTTTGTACAAATGAAAATTGTAAAATAAATGTAATGGCTGAATACTTCGGTTACTACATTATAACATAGTATATAACACTTTCCAATAAATTTCTTATCAGTAAGAGGCAGTGGCAAGAGTCCAAAACAAATTGGCCTCGTAATATATATATAACTATTATATATATATTTATATATAATATATATAATTTATAGATTGAAATAATAAACAGTACCTAAAATGATAAACACTAATAATATTTTAACAAAAAAAAACAATGATGGCTTATTCAGCCAATGTTTTTCAAAATGGATAATGTATGGCTGACATCCTAGACTCTAGCTTATTCTTTCAAATCAGTTGTTTGCACTGTAGTGTAGTGCTTGCACAAAAAATATGTTAATGTTGATGTAGTTCAAACAGGTTTTGAAAGGGTAATAAAAGTCTGGTTTATGGCAATAGTTGTATATTACAGAGTAGTACATTTGTACAAAGATTGTGCTGAAGTTGCTAGTGTGAAGGCGTGAAGTAAGAAGTGCTGCTCACAACTAAACAGTGACTCATTAGTTGACTACTTACATAACAATATTGTACAAAACAACAGAAATAAACAAAAACCAAAATCATATTTAAATTGACAACCACATTGAATCGTCTTTATTTACATAACAAAGTTGTAGCACAGTGTAGATGTAACAATAATGAAACAATATTGCTTTTGAATATTTGAAACACAACATTCACGATTATCGCAGAGCAGTGAAATAATGAATATAAGTTAACTATTGTAATACTCAATATTTCAGGGTTTCCACTCAAATGAAAGCAGTACGACGATGCCCCTGCATCTATTCTGCATTCTGTTCTGTTGCGATTATAGAAAAAGTAAAGATTCTAACCATAAGAAAACAAAGCAGTTGAAAACAAACTAAGAAAATTATTAAATAATACACAGAACAAAATGGCGGAAGATCACCGTTATCGTTGACGAGATTCTCGATTCTGGAATCAGTTTTAACCCAAAATTACAAAGTATCAAGAATCAATAGTTCCTTGATTCTACCGGTATAACCCCCCCTTCTGGTTCATTGTTATAGAGTTTTCAAAGTTGAGAGGATACCCTGTGTTTGTACAAATGAAAATTGTAAAATAAATGTAATGGCTGAATACTTCGGTTACTACATTATAACATAGTATATAACACTTTCCAATAAATTTCTTATCAGTAAGAGGCAGTGGCAAGAGTCCAAAACAAATTGGCCTCGTAACCTGAAGAAACATTGTCTAGCAAAATTGAGCCAATACAGAAGTTCAAATTTAATTTATCAGAAAACCTTTGTCCGATAGGTAACAAAATTACTTTAATTAACAACAATGCACCACTTCTGAGCTAACGTAAAATATATATTCTGAACTGATCCTAAACAAATGTATTCAGTAAAACCAAATGAATGTGGAATCGTATTGTATTCAACACAAAATAAATATTGTAAAAGGGATATTTTGTTTACAAAATAAATAAAAAAACAATAGTTTTTCTTACGTTTAATTTTTTACTTTTTTGATTTAAAAGTACATATTTCTTGTTCGTAAAACTGAACCAAGTCACATATTAGTAACAAAACGGTTATAACAAGTGCAAGTTTTAAATTCTTCATACATATATTAGATTCTGTTAAATACTCTGTTCATGAATGTGTGAAATCATTTCCATCCGGTGTGTTAAAAGTTTGGCAAAATTGCTAACCTGACAAGATGTACAGTAGCATCTCAGTTGTAAAGCAGTTGATTTAGGAAATGTGACATTATTGTAACTGACATAGATATACAAACTAGGACCGCAAAACTTAAAAACATTCTGTATTCATAAATTAATTATTGCATTTTATTACTGGTAAACTATTTATCCATTCCAATTTTCTAAATTAAATTGTATATTCGTTAAACAAACTTAGTGTATATTTTTTACCTTCGGCCGTTTTTTAAACTAGCCGTTTCAGGTCAGTTCTTAGAATTGAAAAGATTCACTTAACAGCATTGTTTACTTACATAGCAGCATCGTTTTACTTAACAACATGAATGGAAGTAAAATACTGAGTCGTTGTTATGACCAATGAGGTTCAAGGATTGAGAGAAAAGAAGTAAAATTGTAATGCTTTGAACTTTAACTAATCAGCTGTTTACAAGTTTAATTGTTTGATCGGTGCAATTAGTGGTTGGTACAATGAGTCGTTGCATCACTGTCAGTGCCAATGAGAGGTTATAAACGAAAACGTGACCTCACTTATAAGTTACGAGTATTGATTGTTAGTAATTAAAAACGGTCGTAGGTAAAATAAGAACGCAACTCGCATAAATAGTCTTAACGACACTCACAGAAGTTTTAAGGGCAATCGCCACGGCTCATACCTTAAATTTCTACTTGTGTCATTAACACTATCTTTACGTGGTCGTTGCATAAACTACTACTGTATAACAAACTTTCTAGTTCTGAGTATCAAAACCATGATTAAAGTAATAGAATTTTTGTAGGGGTGAAAAAAATTAAAAGGTACGGTAAGTTAAGAACGCTTAGAGACAAATTCTTCATCTAATCTTTATTATTTTATTAGGCTCTATATTTTTATTTTGTAAGAAATTAAAAAAACTATTTTTTAATTTTGTTAAGATACAGATACAAACCTTATGCACCCCTCATTTAATTTTGTATAACCACAGAGAAGTAAGAAACAGAGGAAACATTCAACGGTACACTTAAGTGGTCTACCACCAGTCGATGTCTAGAGCAAATTCTATTCATTGTTCCTTACCGCTCCCATTTCCCCCCTCGCCATCAGGTACTACAGCACTCGCGCAGTAGGAAGACCCTGTGCGCTAAACTGCTGTACACATATGCTTTGTGACCATTGCTGATCGGGCTCTTCCTTGCTCAATACTAGTACATTTCCGCCCCAACATACCAGAGCTATAGGCGCACGATTGTCCCATAAGCTTGTATCCTCTGTATCTTACTTCTCTATGGTATGACACAATTATTATATTTTAGTTAAATATAAGCTTTACAAATTATGTTTTTCTCTTTGCAACTCAGCATAATAATCAATTTTTACAAATAATTTATAAAAATGAAATGGTAACTTTGTTGTATGTAGGCATACTATAGTAACTACCATAAGGGTGCTATTTTTTGGAAATTTAATATGGAAAATATCAACTCAATAAATTTTTTTTTAGGGGAAAGGTTTGTGTAAATTGAGACATAGTACAATAATAACTGTCATAAATAGTAGTTTTCATCACTAGGAGCGAAAGTGGCTCTTTTTCCGCCGAGCTTGAAAATACAATGAAGTACCAAAAAGACACTTTTGCTGCGTGTGATGAACAACTATTTTCATCATAGTGTGTAACCTTCTAATGGTTACAAAATTAGACTCACATAATTTGAGGTTAAACAAAGTCGTCATAAATGTTTAAATTTATGTTTTTTGCAAACATACTTTAAATATTGTGTGATTAACAGTGTTTTCATAATGCACTGATATACAGTAATTTGAGGTTAGCGAAACAAAAAAATTACCATATGTTTTTTTTCTGTTTTCTATTTGAAGTTACCCGAAAACTATGAATTTGCGGACGATTAAGATAACTAAAAACGGCTGCTTTCCGGACAGTATGATGAAAAAATGTGCAACCAGTAGGCTGTTAAGTGTATTAAAAAAGGCTAAAACTAACTTATTATGATGTGCAGTTCTGTTAAGTATGTACCTAAGTAATTAAAGAATTCAGGCAAATAAGTAAAACTATCCTGTTTTTGTAACCTTTGTAAAATTTTTAACAATAAATAATTAAAATAAAATAAAACGTTTAGTGACTGTTACTAGAATGGAAGTAAAATACTGAGTCGTTGTTATTTTAAATACCGACAGTTGCTTTTTGCTACAATTTGTTGACAAAATCATTCAACAGAACTTTTTTCTTAAAAACAAAGTTGATTTTAATTTTTACTTAAATGTTAAGTTATTTTAATTTGTTTACATAAAAAACTAATTAAATACATCTTTAACTAACTGCATAGATAACAAGATATAACAAAACAATATTTATTTACAAGTGAAATGTATATTTTTTATACAATATTTTTCACTATTTACAGGACAATGAAAAAAGCATATATACTTCCTTTGAAAAGAAAACAATGTTCATCATATACATATATAACAGGTTAGGGTTTAAAGGTCTTTGCTGAGTCTGAAAAATACTCCAAGGAAACTAAAGAAAACTCAAAATTATTTGCTTTAGCAAAATATCACTTAAAATACAGTTCCCCTATTTATCGTAGGTACTCTCTCCACAAGGCTGAAATAACTATTTAGCCTTTCTTTTTCTGTTTCCCTTCAGATTACTGATTATCAACAACTTCTCCGATGACTAAATCAATATCTCTGTCATCTTTTTTGGTAGTTTGGTTACTATTATCTTTGGTTTTAGAACTAACCCTCTCATTTTCACATCGTTCTTGTTCACTTGTTTTCTCAAAAATCACAGGCCCACTGACATCCACTTGGCATCCGTCCATTGTCTTTTGCTTAATTGCTTCGGATACATTTTCTTGTTCATTGCCTAAATTCATCTCCTCTGTATTATGTTCATTCATCTCAACTTGTTTATCTCCACTTTCCTGTTCTCTTATTTCATCCTGTTCACCTACCAGATCTTTTTTACTTTCCTTCACTTTTTCATCAACACCATACTCTTCACGTATCTCTTCTTGTTCAACTACATTCTTCGGAATTGTCTCTTTCTGTTCATCCTCTTCATTTGTCTTTTCCTGTTTAACAACCATATCACTTTCACTTATCTCTTCCTGTACAACTTCATCTTTTGGAATAGTATCTATCTGTTCATCCTGTTCATTTGTATTTTCCTGTTTAACAACCATATCACTTTCACTTATCTCTTCCTTTACAACTTCATCCTTTGGAATTGTCTCTTTCTGTTCATCATGTTCATTTGTATTTTCCTGTTTAACAACCATATCACTTTCACTTATCTCTTCCTTTACAACTTCATCCTTTGGAATAGTATCTTTCTGTTCATCCTCTTCATTTGTCTTTTCCTGTTTAACAACCATATCACTTTCACTTATCTCTTCCTGTACAACTTCATCCTTTGGAATAGTATCTTTCTGTTCATCCTCTTCATTTGTCTTTTCCTGTTTAATAACCATATCACTTTCACTTATCTCTTCCTTTACAACTTCATCCTTTGGAATTGTCTCTTTCTGTTCATCATGTTCATTTGTCTTTTCCTGTTCAACGACCATATCACTTTCACTTATCTCTTCCTGTACAACTTCATTCTTTGGAATTGTCTCTTTCTGTTCATTCTGTTCACTTAATTCTTGTTGTTGGTCATCTTCCTGACAGGTGACATTCTCCTGGCTGCTAGAATCAGCTGACAACGCAGTGTTTTCCTCTGAGGTACTCGGTCCTTCCCCTCCTCCTCCTCCACCCACCATGATATCGAACATAGGAAACCTCATGGGATACCTCCTCGGGTGTAATCCCTCGGAAAACCCACTCTCTGGCGAGTTGAATGAGTTGGGGGTCTCGTAGGGGAAGTTACTGTCTCCGCTGAGGTCTTCAGAGCAATGAACGCTGTCGGGCAGCCGGAAACTGTAGCTTTCAAACCTGATGGACAAGTTCACAAATATTGAATTAGTTAAGCTGTTTACCATACCTTTCATTTATGGATGTAGGTAATACAATTTAATGTTTGTTTTTTTTTTTTACTAAAAGAGGGTGGCAGCCTCTTTCAACCTTGCATCTCCACATAGACAAATTTTCTCAAAAAATTCATTTTGAATTTTCTTGACCCAGTATTAAAAATTGTACTGTACAAAAGAGCTACCTATACAAAAGGGTAGGCCTATTGTATTATTCATTACAGGATGCCTTGGAGACAAATTTTGAATCAGATTAAAATGTGCAATATGCGCACAGGTCTCCTTGCTATTTACTCAATACAATAATGTGTTTCTCTGAAAAACCTCCTTATTTCACCCACCCTACATAACCGAGATTTACGTATGAGGTATGTTTGAAAGCTTATAATTTAGCGCAGGAACGTATGGTAATCAAAAAGATAATTATTTTTAGGATTTTGCCCCCTCTAACCTTTGATTTACTTTAAGAATGAACTTCCAAAAATGCATGTGCTGCTGACCAACTTTCAGCAAATAATATTAAATAATTTAAAATGTGAATTGTAATTTAACAGCTGGTTATCTTCAGTTGAATTTTCAGCCACAGTTAGTTTGTAAACAAGAGACAAAACTGTCATGAAAATTAATATTCAATAGGCAACGGTCTTTGTACCCTGATTGAGGTAGGTAAATAACTCTCATGGTATATCTACAATTTACATATGTATTGTAAAATAGTAGTAGTATTGTATTGGTGATATAATGATTATCTTGAGCATGCACCATTTATATGATGATGATTTCTAATTGTTAATTTTTCTGCCTCAAAGTAATCAAAGGTAAAAGGGTATTGCAATTGTTTATGCCTCGGAGATAAGTTTTAAACGGAAATTAAAATTAAAAAGAAAATAAGCTTTAAGCTTAGTTCATTGTCATCTATTTTTCATAATCTTTTTTGTAGCTAGGTAATCTTATTCTTTCAAAGGTTTTATTTTTGGCTCTGAAAGAATATAAATCACAAAGAAAAGGTGTGATGGATTTAATTTTCCTAGCTTTTAAAATGATTGAATCAGGCTAACTCAATAACAGTAGGGAATAAGAAACCTTATGATTTTTTCCCTTAAAATTTTCTTTTTATATTCTTAAACAGTTGAAGCTTATTAAATGCATTGACAATTTTTAATCTGCTCTTAGTCTTGGAACTAGAGTTAACTTTAATTGTAAAACACCTTTATTTTAGAAAAAAAAATCATTGCCAATATTAGGCCTACTTGTCATAAAGTTGAGCAAAAGAATCTAAAATATTTTAAATACTAACAACTGATGTTTGTTAGAATGTTTGTTAGAATTCACTAGTATAAAGATTTTTTACCTAAAAGCAACAAATAAGTTATTTTTACCTCTCAGTGTTGTTACCAAGGGGGCGAGGGGTGTCAAACGAAGGGTCCTCTTTAATATACATTTGGATTGGTCGCTGGAACCCCTTCACTGGATGTACCGGGGCTCCCATCACCTCACACTTGCTGAAACCCACCTCCGTCAACAGGTACTGGCTGAAGTGGTGGGGAAACAACTCCATGGCGTGGTAATTCTTCCATGTTTCCGGCTGAAACACATTTTACTTGTTTAAAGTAGGATGTCATTAACAAATTTGGTACCTATAAATTACCCCCCTGTTCAGCCAAAAAAAGGCACATTCTGGGCTAGAACTAAATTAATCAGTCTACATTACAATGTTGGTATTACATACGTTATACATGAGATCATTTGTAGCATTACTAGGATTTCTTTACTAGGCATAAACAGAAACCATGATGAACGTCTAATAAATAATATAATATTCTAATAAACCCCGGACCCCCTGCCTAGCTGGCGGTCCCGCTTTGGAGCCCAAAATATATGGCCACATTAGTTGTGAGTGAAGAGAAGGGTAGGCTAGCCCTAGTAGTCCTAACCTTCAAGCTCAAGGCAGCACTGGCTGGTCATTCCAAGTGATAATTTTAAAATACCTTATTGCATATTCATGTTTTTAACTTAGGATATATGTGTAGTTCTATTTTCTGCTTTTTAATAAATTTATTTGTACAAATGCTGTTTCTGTATTTTAATTATTCTTAAGGTTCTTAGGTTAAGTATCATGTAAGTGAGGAAAAAGAAAAGGTAAGCATAATTAAAACACACAATAATAAGTGATGATGAGTAGTCTATATTTAATGCAGCAGCCAACCTACAAGTAGGCCTAGGCCATATTTTAAATAATACTATTAGATAACTATAGAAAAAATTTTGTTCAATTTTAAATGTAAGAAGCCATTAAAAACTAACCTCTTAAGGCCTATGCCTACTTTATGTGCAACTACTCGACTCAATACTAGATTTTTTACTCAACAACTCAAATTTAAAAATCACTAGCTCGCCCACCCCTACTGTTTACTGTGTGCTAAGTGAAAAATCTACAATACATTTCCTTGGACTATCTATTTCTAAGCTAAGGGCAACGTATTACTTACTGTGAGGTTGCGTTTGCGTTTATACGAGCTCCAGGTCTGCGCCTCCAGTATGAGTACGCCTCCAGGGCGTAGCTGGGCGAACATGCGCTTGAATGCTCGCTTGAGCCCCGCGTCACCCCAGTTGAGTTGGATCCACTTGGTGATGCTCAGACACAGGATCACATCAAACTGAGGCTGTTCTAGCGATACCAGTACGTCAGACTCCAGCACATAGTTACCCTGCAATGTTCAAACATTTTATAATTATTAGTGCACCTGTTGCTCGAATTCAAGCGATTGCAAAGTATTACAAGCGTTATTTAAAAACGAAAAACAGTCATAATTTCCAATGAGTTAAAAGAGTCAACACAAAGACAACCAATCACTCCACTCCAGTTATCGAAACTTAAAACAAAACAACTTAAAACTCACTCTGAAAATGAGCGCTCTTGTGTGTATCATAATAATGTATTTACTATGAACAGCTATTTTAGTATGCAATCCTTAAGGGTGTTTGGTCGCAAATTTTCATGTCTGATTTTTTGTTATTGTTTAATTGTACTAAAAATTAGAGATACAAATATATAAGAAAAAAATTTTTATTTTGAATATTAAGCGAGATATGGAGCTTGAAAGTAGTAAATTTTTAATCTTTGGTACCAGTTCACAGGGAGAATGGGTAATGCGATTCTCACCAAAATTTGCATTCAGGTGTGGAAAAATAAGATAATAATCACTAGCTGTTTAAAATTAAAAATTTTTAAAACAATTTTATTTTTTATTTTTTATAAATTTAAAAAAAAATAAAAAAAATTTTAAAAAAATTAAAAAATAGCTGTTTGTTTTTGGGAAAAATGTATCTGTATGTTGGAATAAAAAAAAAATGTGATATGTTAACTCGTTTGGGCTGTGAATTCGTACCTTTGATGCCTTGCGCTGTCGGAGCACTACTCATTGAGAGTTTGTACACTAACACCGGGGCTTTAGAATACTTTAACATCACGTAATTATTAACATCCTTTAACATTGAAAGAATACGTTTATCGTTGTATTCTAGAGCCCCGGTGTTAGTGTACACACTCTCAACGAGTAGTGCTCCGACAGCGCAAGGCATCAAAGGTACGAATTCACAGCCCAAACGAGTTAACATTTCACATTTTTTTTTATTTCAACATACAGATACATTTTTCCCAAAAACAAAAAGCTATTTTTAAATTTTTAAAAAAATTTTTATTTTTTAAAAAATTTATAAAAAATAAAAAATAATTTTTTTTTTAAATTTTTTAATTTTAAATAGCTAGTGATTATTATCTTATTTTTCCACACCTGAATGCAAATTTTGGTGAGGATCACATTACCCATTCTCCCTGTGAACTGGTACCAAAGTTTAAAAATTTACTACTTTCAAGCTCCATATCTCGCTTAGTATTCAAAATAAATAATTTTTTCTTATATATTTGTATCTCTAATTTTTAGTACAATTGAAAAATAACAAAAAATAAGACATCAAATTTTTGACCAAACACCCTTAAATATATTGCATGAAGGAGATTTCTACGAAACACTACTCATCTATTAATAATGGACAGATTTTTACAAACGATGTGTCAAAATCAAAATTAAATATTTTTTGTGTATACGCCCCATTTCACAAATTCCTGTAATAAAAGTCCTCAGGCTTTGCCCCACAGACCATCAAAATCCCAATGTATTTCTTATGAAAAAAATTTACTAACCCAGCCGTTTAATAAATCTCACTTCAATGGAATTTGTCAAGTGTCAAGATATTTTGCGTCATGTGTACACATTGTTAGTTGAATATAAACAAACAACACATGGTTTTAGTATAAAGCAAGTATTGGGTGAGATACAAATAAATATCAGAATATCAGAATTCAATTATATTTTTCCGTGGTTAAATAAAATGCCACGAGCAGCAAGAGTAATGGGATGGGAGAAGTGATTCTGATACCAAGAACTAAAATGTGTCCATCAGAAATTAATTTTCCGTTCAAAATGCAACTAGAACAGTACCCAGTGTCTTTGGCTTTTGCAATGACCATAATTAAAGCACAAGGCCAATCGTTAAATAAAGTAGCTTTATGTTGCTCTAAGCCGATCTAAGTATTTCAAAGGAGTCAAAATCTTCATTACTAACAAATAAGGAGCATAAAGGTACTGCCCAATGGAGATTTCAACATGATGAATGTAATAGTTGATGACATTCTGTAATACATTCAATAAAAAAAGATATTTTCCTATGTTTGTGATAAAACCTGGTTATTATAAATCGAGTTTGACTTATAAAATGTTTTTTTTAAGGTTTGTTTAGTTTGGGCAGGTGCTTCCTTCCAAGTTGGATTTTCTCCCATAAGGTTTACATGGGGTATAAAAGGTTTTGAAATCGAATCTGTTTTGTTTTGATTTTATGATTGAAGTGGAATTGCTTCTTTAGGTTGGTTACATAAAACACCAAAGATCAAATTAAAACTGTTAACAGGGTATCAAAAATATAGTATACGGCGAGTTATTATGATCCAGACAAACTTCTGTAACAGTTCTTTACTGTTACAAAATAAAATAATAAAACAAATTAAGTTGTTACTTTCCATTTTCATCCCGAATTCAATTGCTTGATTTCAAGCAACAGGTTAACTTGTTAATACAAATTATTCCTCTGTTTAAGTAAACAAAATCTTTTCTTCATAAGAAATACATTGGGATTGTGATGGCCAGTGGGGCGAAGCCCGAGGACTTTTATTATAGGCTGGGTGGTAACAATAATCACCATGACTTTTAAGGAGCTTAGTGAAATAAAAGTAGCCTAACAATCATACACAAATTTCAAAGTTAGCCGAAATCATATTTTAAACCCATCTGACCAATACCTTTTCCACAAAGGGTTATTCAACTACTGTTACTTTTCTTATAACATTTTTTTATCTCAGTCATGCAATCAGTAAATTTCAAAAATTGTTCAGGTTTCTGAATTGTGCCACAAATTTATAGTGAGTAAGCATAGCAAAAATATTCTGTAAACAGTACAGTGAGCTATGACAAATTAATTAAAATTTTCTGCTCATCTTTAAATATTAATGATGGGAGGGTGCCTGATATGCCATACACATATGCCAAATGAATTTTAAACAAAATAGAGAAACGATCATGATGACTACAAATTGTATGTGAATACATTGTATTCAAAGGTAAAGTAAGGAACAGAATCTATTTTGTTTTAAATACTCACGTGAACAAAGGTAATATTGTGAGGAAAGCCTTTCTCTTCATTCACACCGGGTATTTCAATCGGACCATACACAATCGGCATTGAAACAGGGAAGAACTTATCCTCCCTGCCGCAGTTAACGTAATGCCTGATGTTGGACCGTGCGGCCTTAATGAGTGAGCGGTCGATGTCCATGCCGACCACGCGGTTAGGACGCAAGTCTCGCGCCACTGCCAATGTCAGGTGGCCCGTGTTGCAACCAATGTCCAGAACATCTTTTCCTTCAAACAGGTGTTTGTGCTTCTCAAACAATCTGAGCCTCGTGTCCGGCCCATGATGAGGATTCCGATAGCCGTAATACCTGCAAACACAGACGTTATCAATGCTACTGTCAACTGTCTTAGGATACTACAAGTACATTAATGCTCATAAATGATACATATAATTGAATTGACATACTAAGTTTGATTGGGATTTTCAAAGGGCAAGGTTTATCTAGTTTATCATTAAATGTGCTGAACCATCTATAGGATTTAATTACGCAAGGCGATTCTTTGTGTCAAAACTGTGGGTGACGGGGAAGTCGTAGAACGATGGGAGGGCTCAAATTAAAGGTCTCCATTCCATAACGGCGGGAAAAATAGTGAAATTCCCAAAATGTTACCGCAAAATAAGATATAACGTAAAATGTGTCCCTTATAATGGCATTAGAAGCCATTCACAGGTGGTTTTTGTTTACTTCAATACAGCTGATCGTGATTTATTATCAAGCAGAGTACGCAATATTAACATTTTGATTAGATACTATATAAAATCAGGGACAGCATTACTTATAATCAGACTTTTTTGTTATGTCTTAGGAATGTTGAAATCATTCGTATTTTAATGTAAGCATATGATAAGCATATGATAAGTAGTAGAACCATGGCAGATGGCTCAAATCAAAGAAATTGAACTTAGAATGGCTGAAAAAAATGAAGTTAGGCTACAAATATTTTAACAGAAAATTGGATAACAAGTCAAATATTTGTATAACTGTGTATAGCTGTTCAAATATTTGATAAAGAGAAAATTTGATTATGAGTTTCTTTAAATAGGCTACTATTTATTACAATAATTAGTTTTACATTTCAGCTTTTCAGGGACTTATGTCCCTACCAGCCACTAGTAGCTTTAATTTAGCTAATGAATTTAAATACTTAAGGAGGAGCAATAGGGTACTTTCCTGTTAAGGGGAACATTCGTTATTATAGATTTTTTTCGATAGCCTATACAGATATTTTATTTTTTGATCCGATATACAGATATTAACGAATGAAAAATTAAGTTTAAATCAACTTATAGTGAAATTAAACTGTTCTAAACTAACGTAACCTGGCTAACCAAACTTGCTGTGACATTTCAAAATTCCGTTTGATATTCCCCATATGCCTTTTCTGTTATTAAACGGAATTTTGAAATGGTACAGCATGTTTGGTTAGTTATGTTAAGTGAGTTTAGAAAAGATTCATTTCTTAATCCATATCCATACTTTTGCCTAAACAAGACTAGTTCTCAATTTGTAATTTAACTGGGTTTGAAGATATTAAAACGGAAGGAATATGGATCGTAAAGGAATACAAAACTATCAATATATTGAAAAGAAATCACTGATAATGAATGTCCCCTTTAACAGAAAAGTACAAACAATAGTTAGTAGTAATAGAGAAGAAAAAGAAACCATTTATAGAATTGGGGCCGCAGAAAGATGCTACTGGGACCTGAACAAGCTGCTCAACAGCAAAATATTAAGTAAGAAAACTAAAATAAGGATTTACTAGTGTACATGTTGCTCAAAATTTCGAGCTTTGGGCATTAAAAGAATTCAGAAAGAAAGCTCTTAACTTTTGAAAACAAGGTAGGCATACTAAGAAGACTGATTTGGACCTATTTATGAAGCAGGGGTGTGGAGGATAAGAAAAAATAGAGAACTCAGACAGATTTATCATAAGCCATACATAACTGTGATAGTAAAAAGTAAACGTCTGCGGTGGCTGGGTCATGTATTAAGAAGGGATAACTCCAGCCTGATAAAACGGACTTATAATGGTAAACCCAATGGTAGAAGACTTTTAAGAAGACAAGACTGCGGTGGAGAGACCAAAGGCTGAAGTATGTAAGAAGATTGGGAGCAAGAGAGGAAGTGACAGAAGATTGAGAAGAACGGAGGTGGATTGTTGGAGAGGCTAAAAATCATCTTGGGTTTGGCCAAAGGAGTATGTAAGTTAGGTTTATCTTGGACTAGCACACATTTTTTTAACATTTTTTAACATATTGTATTATCCAAAATTAACTGAGTCCAACCGCTCAAACAATGTGAAGCCAAAAGTTTTACCAAGTAGGATTTTGAACATTTAGACCCATCAGGTAGTAAGAAATTATAAACAAGGGTATATCACTGTTGCAGTAACCTGTTTATTTTATTAAGTTTTTACCTGCAATAGTTGCCAAACTGGAACTTAGCATCCTTTTCCTTGAATTTAGGCATCTCCTTGGCCTGTGACTTGTCTAGCTGAGGTGTGCGTTGAGGTGGCCTAAAGCGGTGACGGTCATTCCAAGCCCCTGGTTGTGGAATGACAGGACTCACTATCTTGTCCAAGTCGGCTTTCCTTTCCTTCAGCTCAATCTTGCGCAGGTTGGCTCTATTGTTGTGTTCACACTTGTGGCGCTTTGCAGGCGGTGGCCCTTGAGGCGTTTCTTTTGTGTCTTTAGTTTCATCCTCAGTTTTAACATCTTTATTCGCTTCACCCTTGAGTTCAGCACTCTCTTCTTTGGCGGGAGGAGTTTCCGTTTCATCTAGCCTGTAAAACGTATGAACAACTTTTTGGTACAATTTTGTGAACATAAATATTTTGTTAGATCAAACACTTGACATGAAATGAGGTTTTAGTTTTAATCTTGTTGATGTTTTAGCATTTTATACATAACTTAATATCATCCAAGTTTACCTTTATAATGGAGGAGTCTTTGTCTATAGGAAACAAATTACAAATATTCACACACACAAAATAGAAGAAGTTCAATTTCAAACGCGTTTCCTATTATTGAGAAGACTCAGTCACTACAGGAAAGGCTAAAATTGCTTAATTATTTGTCAGGAGTGTTGCACAACGTCTAAGTGCCACGACGTCTAAAACATCATTTTTAAGTTGTTGCACGATGTCCACTAAAAAATATTTGACTGTTGCACGACGTCTAAGTGCGACGACATTCAAAAGTACAGTAACTGCAAAAAATATAGTCTTTCTACAAGCTTTGGATGTCATAAGATTGGACATTGTGAAACAGTGCACTATATATAGGCCTGCTCTAAAAAAGTATCATTTGCACCACATCCAAGTGCCACGGCATCCAATAATATAAGTCAGTGTCACGATGTCCAAAATATAATTTTTGAGGTGTTTAACGACGTCCAATATAGAATATTTGACTGTCCAAAGCTGCTGGTGCCAGTTGCACGAGGTCCAAAATATGTTTGAGCTGTTTCACGACGTCCAAAGTGCCTGCATACTGTGAACACTGTTTACCGCCCTCAGTGCATACAGTTTGCATTGCAATTATTGAAGGCAACTAGGCCCAGTCTAACAACTGTTTCAAGTTGTCAACCGCTTTATCTTCGTTTAATGTTTAAAATTATTCAATTATTTAAATTATTAATCAATATACACTATACAAATTATTCAATTGTTTAATTTTTTAGACTATTTCTCTCTTTTCAAAACATAAGGAATAGCTATATACGGGTTTACAGGACATGTTTGAACACTATGTTTGAAGTGATGTATCTATTAGTGGACATCTGTTAGTGGCCTTGTTTACAGACGTAGTTGTCACCGAGGAGAGATCGAACTATTGAAAACGCAATTTACAAATGATCCTTTAACCCTGACCTTTAACATAGTTTTATCATTGGTTTTATATATGCCCTTATACACGAAGAAACGTAGAATTCAATGGTGTCTGTCAGGATGGTCACACAAATAGAAGATTTGGATTTTTCAAAGCTGAAGGAAAAGAATACTTGTCCATTGTCTAGCCTCAAATGATTGGTTTGATTGATGGCATATCTATGTGCTTGTGTTTACAATGGGAGAGGACACAGTTTAAGAAAGTTTGGTCATAAGGTTAACATAGGAAACTCCAGAGCCACTGAGGCAGCAACCAAAAGGGTTTTTGAGATAAGAATGTGTCTGTTAATCCGGAATGTGAGCTATAATGACACCAAATTTATATTTAGATATCCATATCTTTTGTGTTAAAAAACAGTCTCTTTGCTGCTTTAGTTGATGTTATTTTCAATAAATAATATGAATCCTTCTAGAGGTTTAACTCTACTTAGTGCTAAAGGCAGCAGACATATACAGTAGACTCCCCTCTTATCCGGACTCCTCGGGACCAAGGCCAGTCTGGATAACGGGTTTTCCGGTTAAACCGACGTCCCCAAAAACTCTTTAAAATATCTTTAAAATGTGATATTCGACTTAAATTTAGAAGAGCAATGTATTTAGACACGTGATCACTGGTCTCAAATCTTTCCCATGAAAACAGTCGTTTTAGTACCGCCCACTTCCTGCCGATCTAGTCCCTTTAAACCAATGTGCTGATAAAAATTGTCCTGTTAAAGAGATGTCATTTCTACCAAGTGTAGTCCGGTTAAACCGATGTCCGGATAAGAGGGAGAAACTCTATCCGTCACGGGATATCAAACTTTACTTTGAGCCCTCTCACGTAGTTCTACGACTTCCCAGTAGCCCACAATTTTTCCGCAAAGAATCACCTTACGTAATTAAATACAGTATATGGGTTTTGATATTTAACAATGCTTGATGACTTCATTACTAAGCACGCAATATACACTCATTCATGTATTGCGGGTCTGCAGTTTATTCACCGTATGCAGGAGCTCTGGACATCGTGCTACAGCGCTGAACTATATTGGACGTCGTGCATCTGGCACCAGTGGCTTTGGAGGTCGTGGCATTTGGACGTTGTGCAACTGGCAGCGGCTTTAAATGTGGTACAAATGATACTTTTTTACGATTCTAGAGTGCACTGTTTCACAACGTCCAAAGCTTGTAGAAAGACTATATTTTTTGCAGTTACTGTACTTTTGGATGGCGTGGCACTTGAACGTCATGCAATACATCTTACTTGTCTTTACTAAGTATTTAACTTAACTTAAGTACAAACAAATTTAGATTTTCTGCTGTTAAGGAAGCCCAGCAAAGTAATGAATCTAACATCCAGGATGAGTTTGTATCCTTAAGTGGTTTCATGGGGTCAAGTCCAACATGACAAACATAAAATTTGTTTAGTTTTTTCTTCCTATCTATAACTAAACCAAACCTATTCTGGCCTAGAGCCATAAGAATAACTTACTCTATATCATCTAAATTATTATAGGTAGGCCTACCCGTAAAAGACATACAGTACAGTGCTGAAATTGCGAAGCTCTAAGAACTTTAGCTTTTAGGATGTCTAGTAGCCACCCCCAAAGCAGAACAACGAGCGACGCTGCGACATTGTCGCGGACACGAAACGCGGGCCTGCGGACACATTTACGGAGTCATAACGACGATCGCGCCGTGGCCGCGATTATTGGACCGACGATCGCACCGTGACCGCGAGTCATAACGACGATCGGGCTGTGACCGCGGAGTCATACCGACAGTCACACCGTGACCGCGGAGTCATAACGACGATCGCGCCGTGACCGCGAAGTCCTACCGACGATCACGCTGTGACCACGAGTCATACCGACGATCACGCCGTGACCGCGAGTCATACCGACGATCGCCCCGTGACCGCGGAGTCCTACCGACGATCGCGCCGTTACCGCGGAGTCATAACGACGATCGCGCCGTGACCGCGAAGTCCTACAGACGATCACGCTGTGACCACGAGTCATAACGACGATCACGCCGTGACCGCGAGTCATACCGACGATCGCCCCGTGACCGCGGAGTCCTACCGACGATTGCGCCGTTACCGCGGAGTCATACTGACAATCATGCCATGATGGCGAGTCATACCGACGATCACGACGTGACCGCGGAGTCCTACCGACGATCGCGCCGTGACCGCGAGTCATACCGACGATCGCGTCGTGACCGCAGAGTCCTACCGACGATCGCGCCGTGACCGCAGAGTCCTACCGACGATCGCGCCGTGACCGCGGAGTCATACTGACGATCATGCCGTGATGGCGGAGTCATGCTGACGATCGAGCCGTGACCGCGAGTCATACCGACGATCGCGCCGTGACCGCGAGTCATACCATAGATAAATCATACTCCCTTAGTAGATTTGTCATCCTTATGGAACAGCTGAAGCCAATTTTATTGTTTGTTCTGTACGTCCAACTGTAGAGGTTATGTTGTGTTTACAATTTGTTTCTTGTTATTTCAGTCATTTAAAACCTCATTTAATCATATAAAACGATTTAATCATAAAGAATAACTGGTCCCCTAGTTCTATAACCAAATAGTAAAGCACAAATCATGAAAATAACCCTAAAATAATAGAAACAAAATGTGGTCTACCCCAGCGATCAGTGTGGACGTACATGAACTAGACATGAAAAACAAGCTTCAAAATTTACAATGGGATGAGGAGTCTAGACGATCGCGCCGTGACCGCGAGTCATACCGACGATCGCGCCGTGACCGTGGAGTCATACCGACGATAACCCCGTGACCGCGGAGTCCCGCAGTCATACCGACGATCGCGCCGTGACCGCGAGTCATGACGACGATCGCGCCGTGACCGTGAGTTCTACAGACGATCACCCCGTGACCCGCGAGTCACAAGTTTCTATAGGTACCTGTAAATTGTTACCCATTTTTTGGTTTTTATAGATCAGTGCCACAAATGGTAAACATTGATTTCGTGTGTCTTTTTTGGTAACTGCAATACAGTACTTTTTTTTATGCACAGAAAAAAATCCTGTCCCATCCCGTCCCGAAAATCGGGAAGGAAATAAAAATCCCGTCCCGTCCCGAACTAAAATTTCAATCCCGTCCATCCCTAGTGTATTTATATAAAGAAACTATAGTACATTTAAAGTTTTACTTCTAAAGACTTTGTTAACACTTGTTAAGGTATGTGTATATATTAGGGGTCTGCGGTGCACCGAAAAAGTCGGTACGGTACGGTACAAGCTTAATTACCGTCATCGGTTCGGTACAGCATTTTACACGGTACAAATTCGGTTCGGTACAGCCTATTATAATAATAAATTACTTTCAGTTTACTATTGTAGTCAACGGCAGTTGGTTCCGAGCACATAAAAGTCTTATCAGATGTTTGTTTACGATCTTCATAATTTATTACTAGCGTGATGATGCAATAAAAAACCCATTAGCAGTCCCAAATCCATTAATATTTTATCACGACAATAATTGTTGTATTGAAGTACTTCCAAGAACTGTTGAGTTTTATCACTTTTATTTCTTTACGACTTTCCCCAATTCTGTTTTATCATAAAAATAATAGTTTTATGATGACTGTTAAATGTTATCTCTAACTTAATCAGTATTTTCGTGAATATTGAATTTGCCGCTGGCCATTGCCTACTGCCATAAAACTGTTTATGGCTACATATTAAACTTGTAACTAATCTACAATCTTATTTTATAAATTAAAATATTTGTTATGGATATTTTATCTTTCTATTGACGACCATGGATATATACAAACTTTTGTCGTGATTTTAATTTCAACATCAAAATACAATATTGCACAATCGTGATATTTTAGGCCATTGACCTTTATTATGCATCCGGTATTGCTGATAAATTATAAATTGATATTCCCGTAGTTAAAAAGAATTATTTTATAAACCTATAAAACAAAATCATAAAATCTTACATAAAGATAGGAAATTGTAAAAAGGGTATAAAGATAACAACGTCGTTATTCTTTCTCTTTGTTCTTCTATTTCTTGGGTTTCCCTTCATCACGCATTCAACAAGTTGCCATGGTTACTAATCACCCATGTCGTTATCAGCTTTTGTGACATAGCGCACAGCAGGGGGTAAAACTTGAAGAAAATCAGTAAATTTTTACCTATTATTTAATTACCAATGAATGTACTACTTTATTGGTATTTGGCATTGTTAATAATCTGTCTAAATGGCAGATTTTTGTCAAATTTTACACCAAATTTATTGAAATTTCAAGGTGAGTATTAATAAAACAATTATTACCAAATATTTGTATTCGTTTAAAAGATTGATTTGTGGTATTGGGTTCCCCACTGAGTGCAGCCGAGCGGCACTAATGAGGGTCGGACCTTCTTGGGGGTGAACAATAGACGGCTTATCAGACCCTCCCCTCCCCCGTGGTCTGGAGAAAGCATGTAAACAAACTATTGCACAAGCGTGACTTGACATTGAGCTGCTTCAACTATAATTAATTTTGTCAAATGAACTGTGATGTTTCAAAATCAAAAACAATAATTTGGGACCATACTGCTTAACAATAATGGACTGCAATTATTGTTGAACATACAATCCATTTTTAACAAACTAAGATTATACGATTCAAATACAATTATAAAAATTATCTTGGTATTTTACTTGGGGTAATGAAGTTATGTAGGCTAGTGTAATTCTCGGTTCATCAAGGTTCTACTGAATTATGTTTGGCAGTGAATAAGTGTAGAATGCAATTTATAAAATCAGGGATACACACCTTTTACACAGTTATAAAGTCTAATTGCCCAACATGAATTCTTACTCTGTGATAATCCAAATTTTAGTTTTAGAAAAAAACTTTGCAAGAATTTTATCCATCTTATAACTTAACTAGTTTTGAAGCTGATAAAAAAAAATGGTCTTTGCCATTACTTCATCATAACCTCCAGTTTTTCATTGTCATCTGCTTTGAACAGCTGGCAAAACTACATTGTCTTCTACTGAATGCTTTTATATGTTTTTAAAATAAAATAAAAAACAACTAGACATTGTGTCGGTTGGAAATAATTTACCAGTTTTGTGAAATTATCTTGTCAATAAATGTTTCAAACATGTTTATTCATAAAAACTCTTATCCTATTTTTAAACTACTTTATCATGGCTATTCAAAGTATCTCAGAGTAAAATAGGTAAAGCCTTTATCTCAACTGTGATTTTTCTTGACACAATCCTCGTAGTAGTAAAAGGTTTTGTTTTAATAATATGTGGTACTTGTTGTAATTGTTGTTAGAAAACCATGAATGTAGGATACTATCCATTTTCATAGTAATGTCTATGTATTAAAGTTAAAAATAATGGTTTAGATACAGTTCTGAGAAGAAAACCGCAAAAATACGGGTAGCCGCGTACCGTACCGATTTTGTACCGAGAACCGAGGTATAAAATACTGTACCGTACCGAACCGTACCGACCTTAAATTTTCTGTACCGCAGACCCCTAGTATATATATATACGTATTTAAAAAAAAGTAAATTTAAATAACCTGATTATGCCTACCCCTTAATAGTTTTTTAGTTTTTTGTTTTAAAAGTAGGCTATACAAGTTATTGAAATTTACTTATTTTATTTAACTATATTACTAGTAGCCCTAAAGAGTGAATATATATATATATATATATATATATATATATATATATATATACCGGTATATAAGTCATTATTTAGCTTTTTAGTTTTAGCGCTTGCGGACACATTTTGAGGTTTTCACAGGCCGTTGCAGACACGTAGGAACCATTCTGCTTTGGGGGTAGCCACTTTGATTGTTGTTATAGCTTAGTAGACAAAATTTATGCATACAATGACTATTGCTTACTTGGCCCCTTCGATTGAGTCCTCCTTCCCCGAACCTGGGCCAGACGATGCCCGGTTATTTCTATGCCGTTTCTTCTTGTTCTTCTGCTTCTTGGCATTTTTCTTGACGGGAGATATTAACATGGCCTCATAAGTAGCGTCATCGTCCCCAGCTATGAGGTTCAAAGGATCTGTGATATCAGGAGGAATTATCACTTCAATCTCTCCTTTTCTGTGCTTTGGTGTAGGCAAAGGCGACGATTTTGGCGTCACAGCATTCATTGCTCTGAAATGGATAATAACGTTTGGTCAAGAAAAGGATGGTAAAAAAAAACCATTTAAAATACAGCTGCAGTAACAGGAGAAATGTTTTACTACCTTACTCACTTACTGCTGTGGCCACTGGTACCTTAAATGGTACTTGGCCTCCACACTGTCTCTCAGTTTTCTTAAATGTCCATTTATTCTTGGTTCCACCATGTCAGTTTCGGTCTACCAAGGGGTGATCTTCTTTCTGGGTTGTTCTCCAGTACTTTCTACTACCAGTACCTATACACTATTGTTTTACTACCATACCATACAAAAACTATGATACCAAACAAAAGCTTACAAAAAGCAGAGGAATCAATCCATGGCCATTTTTAAATGGAGATGATAAAGCCAAAGCCTTAATAATTTATATTTATACTGTACTACGAAAAACCTAAATTTTCAATGCTAATGACAAAACTGGAAGAAGTTAGGGTTTATAAGTTATAAGGACGAACAAGTCAATAGGCATATTTTTTAAAAAGTTATCTCAAGTTCTAAATTATACTACTAAATATTAGCTTCCATTTTTATATTAAATAGATAACAAACCTGTTTATATCTTCGTCCTGAAGACTATTGAGGTTCAGTGGATCAGTAATGTTCCCACCCAGTAGAAATTTGGTGGGTGGAATGATGAAGTCTTTGTTGCGCTTCTTGTAGGGAGGAAAGAACTTCCCATTAGCGGCAATCTTCTTTCGGAATTTGTGGTCATGTTTGAATTTCTTGTTCTGGAAATTGGAGGATCGCCGATGGGCTTTTTCCGTATCCTTGCTACGCCGCCGGGACTGTTTGTCAAGTCCAGTATCAACTGTTTGCACGTCAGTAGACATTTCTCAATCTATAAACAAATCTTAATAGACAAATCGGGTTTTTATTATTACACAATCATTTTTAGTTAATATGCATGCAAACTAATAATTCAGAGATGTATAAAAAACATGTGGTAGGCCTAAGACTACACTGTACCGGTAACCATAATTGTGTGAAGGTGTCCAAATCCAAGAGATAAAAATCAATGCTGACAATGAATCCATATCAAATTTTAGGTAGCCTTTTCTTTTTGTTACATCCTAGGTGTTTACTTATGTTATTCTTAGGTTGTCGGTTACTCATCACTAAAATAAATTAATCACAATTTACTAAAAAATGTCGAGGTGTATTTCAAGTTTACATCAAAACTCATCTTCAGCCTCTAGTAACAACATATCAAGTAAATAAACTATGATTTATAATGTTTGTTTATAAATTAATTAACATATGTTTGAATTATTTTAAAATTAAGTTAGTAGGAAAACATTTTTATATTGTATATATTATGTAGATGTCACAGTTAATTTATTATTGTTTTTCCAATTTTAATTTTGTTCTCAACCTCTTCTCGAATTAAAGGTATATAAACATAGGGCTGATTGTAGCACTAGGTTGGGATATGCTTCTTTTATCAACCGCCATCAGCCCTATGTTTATACCTTTAATTCGAGAAGAGGTTGAGAACAAAATTAAAATTGGAAAAACAATAATAAATTAATTGTGACATCTACATAATATATACATATAAAAATTTTTTCCTACTAACTTAATTTTAAAATAATTCAAACATATGTTAATTAATTTATAAACAAACATTATAAATCATAGTTTATTTACTTGATATGTTGTTACTAGAGGCTGAAGATGAGTTTTGATGTAAACTTGAAATATACCTCGACATTTTTTAGTAAATTGTGATTAATTTATTTTAGTGATGAGTAACCGACAACCTAAGAATAACATTAATAATGCCATCACGAAGGAAAAAACATACCGGAATGAATGTATTACTTATATCTTAATTGACTGTTGCACAATTTACCGCCCTAAGACCAAAATAAGTTACAGTCAGCGCAAGAAACTAAAGACCTAAAATTAAGCTTAAGAATTAAGAGCTACTTGAAAGGCTTATCTTAATGAATTACCTGGTTTGGTTATACTGTACCTATAGAGTTTCAGTCTGATCTTGAAACCTTAAATAAGACTAGGCCTATATCAAGGCTAGTTCACCAAATAGCCTACAATGTCAAGTTTAATAGCTTATTTAAATGCCTAATTGAAAGATTTGTAAAGTTCAAGGGACTTATTCTTAAAGCTTAGGTGTAGGCCTACTCGCCGAAATCAATGTAAGCTTACCATTTAACATAGGTAGGCTAACTTAACATTTTTTTTAAACATCTTAGCAGAATAAAATCTAAATCAGTGGATGTTAACGTACTAACTTAGTTTATCCCCATTATCTAGATTCATTAGGCCTATTTTAAATTGGTAACTTTTAAAAACATCTGTGTGTCAGTTACACTATCGAGGTTGTGCTAGCAAAGCTTTTCATTTAAAAGAGCAAACTGTTAGGTAGTTAGTTTTGTGATGTTACCTACAGTCCAGGGAGCCGAAACCCCACCGGACTAAGGCTGTTCTAGGACCATCCTCTTTAGCCTCCAAAACTGTGAGTTAGGCCTTTAACTGAATAATTTAATTTTGAGTACAGTCCGTTTCAGATTTAAGTTAAGTAATGTACATTGTGTGTAGTAATGCCTAATTCTTAAGAAAAATTTGTTTCTTAAAAAAAATAGCTTAGGCTGTTATTTTTTTCTTAAATTCTTACTTAGGGCCTAGCCTATTTGAGAAATTAAAAGGGAAATACCTACAGCAAACCTACAGATTTAACCCTCCGAGTGTTATGTGTCGATTTTTCGACACACAAACACTGTTTACGGCGAAGGCTCTATGACTGACAAAATCGGATTGAACTGGATCTAGTTAGGTATTGTTTTATTTGGCAGATTCTAAGCTTTCTCCCGAGGTCTGTCTCTAAGCGCTTTTTTTTCTCGAGCCGATCATAATTGTAGCAGACAGCTGACGTGCGTATTTGTAAACAGCTTGGTTAACCTCGCACCGATGACTGATGTGTTTTATTACATTTATCATTGTTTTAGTGTTAAAAATCAAAAGTAGTGATAAGTATACGTGGTGCATTATAAGAAGATTTAAGTGATTTTAAAGGGCTGGTTGATGATCCTGAAGAAGTAGGTAGTGATATTGATGTAAATTATCAGCCAGATTCCTAGCTATGGTTAGGCTATGCATTCTTAGCTAAACGCTGTACTGAAATCTGTTTTTTGCCCATAACTTATTTATTTGCAAATCTACTTCCTTATATTATTAAATATTTGTAATCCTCATAAAATTTAGAACAAAGTGGCTATTTTCAAATATTTATAGGCCTATAATTTATACAATTTCATTGAGCGCAAACTTTTTTTTTTTTTTAATATTTTCTAATATATTTTTTTACCTAAAAATTTTTTTTTAAACAAATGTTCTATATGTTTTATGTATAATATTGAAGCCCATGATTTTCCAAACAAAATGGTATACTTATAGAACAGTATAGGCCTAATTAACATTGTTTTTAAGCTTCTCAGATCCGTTTTAATAAAACCTTGCAAATGCGCAAAAAATAGGCAAACATTAAGGCCAAAACTAGGGACACTCGGAGGGTTAAGTAATGTATGAATCTTCACTAAAATAGCTCCTTAAAAATGTCATATTTATTCTATAGTACCTATTTGTTAATGAGTAAGTTAAGTAAATACGCTTGCTGATAGGGAAGGGAACAAGTGATTTAAGATCAAAATGTTAATAACATAGCCTAACTTAAGTTAAGAAAAACTAGTAGGTAAGTAACTTAAATAGGATAAAATAAATAAATTAGCAAAATTGTATTTAATTAATTAAATACCAATTAAATACACAGATTCCATAACACAGGCTATAAGGTAAAAAATCAAATATTTAATCGGATTTTTTATTGTTACTGGACTAAAATCGTGAAAAATTATTAACCTAAACATTCATAATACACAATAATTGACTGCCAATTTAAAGTTATTAATTTCTTACCTCCTCTAAGAAATTTAAAAATAAATCGACGAGTTCAACACGAAAACACCCATTCAAACTTGGAGAGGGAATGGAATGACAAAGATCGTATGTTGACTTTTGCGCATGCGCGAAGTCTGCTCTCCATATTGTTAACCATATCGTGAAAATTTCATTTAATAAACAAGTACAATAAGGACATTTATAAAGCGTAATATGTCCATTAAAACTCACCTCTATAAACTCTTTCACTGACGAAATCATATAATAACTAAATATTGTCCCAAAACCGATAAAACTCCTGGTTTTAACTGAAAAACTCTCACTAAACCCCTTACCACGATCTGACTCCCAACGGAGCAACCATGAAATATGGCGAATGTCCGATAGTGCCAACGTTCTGAAACGTTCTCGCCCTCTCCCCTCCAAAAGCACTCATTCCCAAAACTGCCAACCGAAGACTATTTCACGTCTTCGAAAAAAGGTTAATAAGGTGCTTAAAACAAAGCAATTATTTTCTGTACTGCTGTAATATGCGAGTATTTATGTTTCTTGCGTAACATTATCATAGTAAAGCATTACACTGTGGAACTAAGTAATAGTGTTATGATAAAACTATTTATTTCCTCCTTAGCGTTTTGTTGGCGATACTGTTAACTTTAGACTGGAGGTGTCAAGATTATTGATAATCAGAGTTTTTATGTTAAATCCTATCGTTTTTTGTATTTATGTTGATATGTAAAATATATCTTATTCAACTATATCGTTTATTCACTTCACTTTAAAAGAGTAATCAAATATCATCTACACTGGTAAACTGTTATGGCGAGCTTTCAATACAGTTCTCATTTCCGCATCCTACATGGCGAACAAAATACTGTAATTGTGTTTACAAACTACACTTACACTAACTTATTATTTAAATTTAGATTTGGTCAACACGTAGTTATAATAGTTTATCTATTAGGCTGATTAAATTAGATGATAGTTTTTAATCTCTTTTTTAATGTATTTTTTTAATTTATCATTCCCATAGTTTAATTGTGTAATTCATTTTAGCCTAGGGGGGTTTTATGGGGTAAAAATGGGGTTTTCTCATTTTTTACCCTTAAAACACAAAATTTATCAATTTTTCTCCAGACCTTTTTAAAGAGCTTAAAAACTAAATAATTTACTATATCAAAAGTGTTTTTGTACGGTTATTGGTTACGGAGAAAATTAAAAAATTGTTAATTTAAAATTCCCATGCTATTCTTATGGAGAATATTGTAAAATATTGTCGTTGACTTGTTTATGGATATATTTTGATCAAACTTGGCGGATTTATTTACTTCATACTAATCTATTGATATTTTAATAAAAAACACTTAATTAGTTTCCCTGTAGCAGCTAACCTAGGACCTAGGTACTCGTTAAACATAAATGGAAATTTAATTGAGTAATTGAAAATCAATCCAGGCAAATGGAAATTCGCTTAGTCGGCAGGTTTGCTGCAGCGGGGGTATTCCTAAAGTCACCCGACAAAGTGGGCTTCCTTGCACAGATTATAGTACAGTTAGCCTTACTTTGGCGCACAGGCACAGTTTTTACTTCGGCGCACACCAATATTCCAACCAAAACAACACAAAACAGCGAGCTTTTATTATGCACGTAACCCGTGTACGCTTGAAAATTTAAGTTGGCAACACTAAAGATATTACGACTATGATCAGGTGGTGCAGCGTTTCCCATTTCGTAATTCGTTCATTGTGTGGATTTAACCTTACCTAAAAACGTGTTGTAAGTTTGAAAGACTAATTATTTATATGGTTTATAGTAACTGTAGGAAAAATATAATGTGTAACACGAGTGCAAACTACCTTTGCTGTCCCACTAGCTACACAAATAAATAACTATTTCCTACAGTTGCCTGACAAAGTGGGCTTCCTTGCACTGGTTATGGCACGCCAAGTCGCTAATTGCGACACGGGAAACGCTGCACCAGCTGATCCTACACTGAGAGCTGATCGTAAGTTGATTATAGTATCTTCGGGGTGGCCACAGAAAACGTACGTTTTCTGTGGGGTGGCGGAATTGTACCCAGGTTGGTGATTGATACTACGACGACGTATTTTTTCTCGGTCAAAACAGCGTGTACTGGCTGAAATTGTAACCCCCTCTCCCCTCAAAGAACTTTGATACTGTTTATGCACGAGTGGTTCGATTAAATTCACCGGCATTTAAACAACTATACGGGCCAGAATTGTATCCCCCACTTGACTCAGACCTCTTCATGCACTGAAATTGAAATGGACTTGGTAGCAATTCCTATACGATGTGATTTTTATTTCGAACTGAACACGAACTCAATTTAAAATCAAATAAATTAGATCAATATAGGTGGATCTAGGAGGAACGCAACAAACACGTGGGAAGCAACATCCTTAACATAATTCAAACACAAAATTTAAACCCAATTTATGAAAAGATCCAAGAATTAAGACAAAATTAACAATTAAAACCATTGGCATAACGATATTCAATAGTTATTTGTGAGCAATTGACTCACTCGAGAGAAATCCTTACTCACGAGTCGTAGGCGAGTGATGAATGGTTTCTCGAGTGCGGCAATTGTACTTTGAACTCGAGTTGCACATTATACTTTTCCTACAGTTACCATAAAACAAATAAAATTGTGAAGAAACATAACCTATTTAAGTGAACTTTTAATATAACATTTAATGTGAAGTGACAAATACAACAGTACAACAGCTGACCAGCTGATTTACAGCCAGCGCTGCCAACGTATTTCGCGCGCATACGACCTTGTCTGCATGTTACGCGGTCACTATTTCGTGCCTTCACGTTGCAAATCTGGAGTGAGACAAAGTAATTAGAGTGAGACAATGTTAACATTGTCTCACTGATGAGCGAATTGCCCACTTTGCTTTCTCAAATCAGTGAGAGAACATTGGTGATCATTGGTGTTACATTGTTAGGTAACTGTAGGAAAAATTATATAATTTTCCAAGACTAGATAGATTCAGTTAAAATTTAAACATGTGATTGTATTTATTTTCTTTGTTTACATGTTAGATTTAATAACATTGTGAAAGACTGTGACCATGGCCTTAGTGTTGAAATGCATCAGTCATTAAAAATACCCGCGCCGCAGCAAACCTGCAGACTAAGCGAATTTCCATTTGCCTGATTGGATTTACACTAAAGTGTCTCCTTAAAAATATCACATTTATTCCCTATTTAAATAACATTAGTTTAACGAGTACTTAGGTTTGCTGCAACAGGGAGGGTGAAAAGGTGTTTTTTTTTTAAATGTTAATAGTTTAGTATGAAATGAATGCATTTTCCAAATTTGATCAAAATATGATCATAAACAAGCAAACTACAACAGTTTACTTATTCTCCATAAGAATAACATTGGAATTTTAAATTTACAGTTTTTTTATTTTCCCCCCATAATAACGCTTCAATATACTAAATTATTTGGTTTTTTTAAGCTCTACAAAATGGGTTGGAAAGGAAATGCTAAATTTTAAGTTTTTAGGGCAAAAAATGGGAAAAACCAATTTCCCCCCATAAAACCCCCATACACCCGTTCCCATGGTCCGATCATGCTGGTTCGCGAACTCCTTCGAATAAACGTACCAAATTTCATCAAAATCGGATGATTTTTGCTCAAATTATCGCGCTAACGGACACGTATATAAATATATCTATTCTATATATACAGGGTGAGTTTTAAATGAGTCCCCCCCCCTACTTTTTTCTACATTCCTTAAGATATCAACTCCGGACCACGTCAGATCATTGTAGAGTAGTAAGTACTTCATTTTGACTGGGTATAAATTTTTGGCCGCTATCTTGGATCCGCCATATTGGATACAAAGTTTTTTTTTTTAATGTAAAGGTAGGGTTGTGACCCATCGTTTTAAACTACTTTTTTATGCTGAATACGATGCTGCAATTCGTTTTTAAAAATCTTGATCTATTCTAAAGTTATGAGAACTTTATATAACATTATTTTTAGCCCATTTAACATTGTGCATTTAGAAACTAAGAACATAATTGCAAAATAGTGCTAGATAAAGATAATTATACACCACATAATATACATAAATCTTTATCTAGCACTATTTTGCGATTATGTTCTTAGTTTCTAAATGCACAATGTTAAAATGGGCTAAAAATAATGTTATATAAAGTTCTCATAACTTTAGAATAAACCATTCATATCAGTGAGTAAAGTGGTGTATGGATTTCATAACCATTATGTTACTAGAGACCGTTGTATTTAACCACAACGGGCACTGTCGCTAGTATATATATATATGAATTTGAACGGATGGTGTTTTTGGTCTCTAGGGACCTCAACACGAAAAAGTAAATCGGTCCCGGGTCCAGGTCTTACCATGAGTACTACGGTAATAGCTTATTCCCTATAGGGGAAATTCGCTAATAATATAAAAATACCCCCGCCGCAGCAAACCTGCAGACTAAGCGAATTTCAACTTGTCTGATTACATTTTTACTAAAATATTTGCATAAATAAGGCAAATTTATTCCCTATTTAAATAACATTAGATTTAACGAGTGCTTAGGTTTGCTGCTACGGGGAAGGTAAAAAGTGTTTTTTTTACCGTCAATAGTATAGGATGAAATAAATAAATTTACTAAATTTTATCAATATACTGTATATCCATAAACAAAGTAAACTACAGTATAACAATGTTTATTTTCTCCATGAATAACATGGGAATTAAAATTACACTATTTTTGAATTTTTTCCGTGACCGTTAGGCATACAACAGCACTTCAATTATTTTTTTTTTAAGCTCAAAAAACGGTTTAGAAAGAAATTGCATTTTTTTGTTTTTAGGGTCAAAATGGGAAAACCCCATTTTTACCCCATAAACCCCCGTTCCCATATGGTCCGATTATGCTGGATCGCGAACTGGTTCGAATAAACGTAGGTTTACACGTTTGTACACGTTGTTTCATCAAAATCGGATCATTTTTGATAGAGTTATCCCGCTAACGGACACACACACACACACATATGTATATATATTTATATATACACAGGGTTAGTAAAAAGTTTGGAGACCCCCTGTTATTTTTTTAACGGCCCAAACTAGAAAACCCAAACTTGGCACACCATTATGGCATATTAAGAAGTACTTTTTGGGCATAACCTCCACTTGGTGTTCATCCCCAAAATGGGGGATTTTTAGGGAAACTAAAAAATTTCAAATACAAAGACCCATCGAGTGACCCCTCATTTTGAAGGTCCTAGTAAAAGAAAACCATCAACGCAAATTAGAGGTCTCTATCTCAGTTCGGTAAAAAAATAGCAGCCAATAAGTTTCATAAGCAGTTAGCTCATAAGTTCTCAAACCCAAAATGGGGGATTTTGGGGGAAACTCAAAAGTATTAAATGATAAGCCCTATCGAGTGATCCCTCATTTTGAAGGTCATAATAAAAGAAAACTAACAACGCAAACTATAGGTCTCATCTTAACACAGTAAAATATGGCACCCAATTGAATATAAAATTACAAGGTATTTCCGATTTCTTAAGATTTCAATCAGCTTCCATGTTTTACTGGATTGAGATAGAAACCTCTAGTTTGCGTTGTTAGTTTTCTTTTATCACTCGATGGGGCTTATCATTTAAAACTTTTGAGTTTCCCCCAAAATACCCCATTTGGGGTTTGGTAAGCAAGTGGCTATTAGGCTTAAAAAGTACTTCATAGCCTGCCAAAAAGGTGTGCAGAGTTTAGTTTTCCTAGTGTAAGCCGCTACAAAATTTACAGGGGGTCTCCAGACTTGGAAAGCTTTAAGTTAAATTTAACTTCTGAGAATTTCAATTGGCTGCCATTTTTTACTGGATTGGGATAAAGACCTCTAGTTTGCGTTGTTGGGTTTCTTTTACCAGGACCTTCAAAATGAGGGGTCACTCGATGGGTCTTTGTATTTGAAATGTTTGAGTTTCCCCCATTTTGGGGATGTACACCAAGTGATGGTTATGCCCAAAAAGTACTTCATAACATGTCATCAACACATGTCATAAGGTGTGCCGAGTTTAGTTTTTCTAGTATGGGCCGTTAAAAAAATAACAGGGGGTCTCCACACTTTTTACTAACCCTGTATATATGAACTAGCTGTACCCGCGGGCTTTGACTCGTTTTACTTCATAAGTGAGCTCGTTCGCATGGCTCAATCACGTCCTGGTTGAAGTTCGTTCGCTACGCTCACTCACCTTTAGGTTGGAGCTCGTTCACTGCGCTCACTTGCCTTCAGGTTAGCTCGTTCGCTACACTAACTCGCCTCCAGGTTGAAGTTCGTTCGCTACGCTCACTCACCTTTTGGTTGCAAATTAGCTGTGGTCATAAATTTAAAAAAAAATTGTGCTGCATCCTGTTGGTAATCCTTGTAACTTTAATGCTATTGCACATCATAGAACAGAACCAACTTGTTTAATTGAAACAGCTGTTAAGATTCATTAATTCCATTTAAATATGAGTACTCATAAGGTTAACATGGGAAACTCCAGAGCCACTGGGGCGGAGCCCGAGAGTCCGATCAGAATAAAAACAACTTAGTTTTCCTATTTAATGCCTAAAGAATCAGTGTACCAATTTTCAGCCTCCTAGGTAAATGGGAAGTGGGAGAATTAGTGATGAGTGAGTGAGTGAGTCAGTCAGTGAGGGCTTTGCCTTTTATCACAGACTAGCTGTACCCGCGGGCTTTGCCCCGTTTTACTTCATAAGTGAGCTCGTTCGCATGGCTCAATTACGTCCTGGTTGAAGTTCGTTCGCTACGCTCACTCACCTTTAGGTTGGAGCTCGTTCGCTGTGCTCACTTGCCTGTTAGCTCGTTCGCTACGCTAACTCGCCACCAGGTTGAAGTTCGTTCGCTACGCTCACTCACCTTTCGATTGCAAATTAGCTGTTGTCATAAATTTAATAAAATAATAGTGCTGCACCCAGTTGGTAATCCTTGTAACTTTAATGGTATTGAACATCATAGAACAGAACCAACTTGTTTAATTCAAACAGCTGTTAAGATTCATAAATTCCATTTAAATATGAGTACTCATAATGTTAACATGGGAAACTCCAGAGCCACTGGGGCGGAGTCCGAGAGTCCGATCAGAATAAAAACAACTTAGTTTTCCTATTTAATGCCTAAAGAATCAGTGTACCAAATTTCAGCCTCCTAGATAAATCGGAAGTGGGAGAATTAGTGATGAGTGAGTGAGTCAGTCAGTCAGTGAGGGCTTTGCCTTTTATATATATAGATAATATAACCCCTACTAGTAGGGGTTTATTATCTGTGCTTTTATATATATAGATTTGAACGGATGGTGTTTTTGGCCTCTTTCAATTATTTTGGACTCTTTCAATCACACATATTATATGGTCTTATTTTGTGGGGCCACTCCCCACATATTAATGACATCCTTTTACTAAAAAAAAATCTGTTCAAAGCATTGCTGCAGAATGCTCAGATACACACTGTAAACCTCTTTTCATTAATTTCAGGATACCAACCATAGTAAATCTTAAATATTCCAAATTCTAATATACCTACAAAGTCAAACTTAGATTAATTCTCCTTCCGAAAAGACGTACACAACCACTATAAGAGGTAGGGATAAAATAGATATATTGCAGCACAGATTGGCAAAAACCAAACATTCACATAAATTAAATTGTATAATGTTTTTTAATAAGCTGACTGAAGAAGCAAAATTTAGTATCTTACAGTATTAAAAAAAAAATAAACTGTATGACTGGATTGTTAAAAATCCCTTTTAAAAAATTGATGATTTTTAAGTTGTGAAATAAAGATTAGATTTTGAAGAGTAAGTTGAAATAAAGCTTTTATTTTCATTTAAGTGGCTATTTAAATTTAGATATATTGTACCATAGATAAAACATACTCCTCAAGGAGTATATGTAGTCCTTGAGGAGTATGTTTTATCTATGATTGTACTGTACACTGAATCACCTTGTAGTCTAGTCATATTGAGAAATTACCTAAAAAAACTCTTATAAGTATAAAACTTGGTACGTATATTGAAATTTATTTCCGGAATAACATACTAAAAGTCCTCGGAAAAAAACTTTGGGTCCAGGGGGACCCAAAACGAATATATCCACTCAAAACTCAAACTCGAAAATTTTGACGAAAACAATACTTTTTCCATATCCTATGGTATAGGGGGAGAAAGTAAAAAAGCGGCGATGAAAATGAAAAGCGTAAAGAAAAAAAAAGAGTCGGAGTCGCTAACTTCACGAACTGGACTGAGGTCACCGTTGTTCTGTTTTCTGTTCCAATGTTCATTTCATTTTCAGTCGATGTTTTTGAATTGAAGTTCAATAGGCCTGGGCCTAGGCTATGTAGTGTAGTGTAGTGACTCGGTCTCGGTAGTGACTAGTGAGTGAATGAATATAATAATCCTATCCCTATCATCAGTGGTGAAAGTGTAAAATTAAGATTAAAAGTACTCTTAGTTATAGGCTATGGTAGTACGGCTACATCAAGTTGGTTTTGTTAACGTCTCTGAACTCGTCTCGCCTTCTTCAACCACATCAGGAGATTTTTAAGTCCTCCGACCTCCAGTCACTAGTCAGATAGATAGTCATTCATTGCATGCAAAAACTGTAGGCCTACTATCCATCACTCAACTCGTCAGATTAGATCACTCCAAAGTAGGCAAATACTAGATTATTTTTACGTTAAGGCTAGCATAGTCTATAAATGTACATAGGCCCTAATTTAGAAACAAATCATTAACACCTTGTCATAGCTGATATTTTCACAGGACGACCATTTGTTGAAATTTAATTTTGGAGGTTAGGTTGGACTATTGATTCTAATAAGAATCAGACTCCTCGCAAATAGCCTAAGATAAGTTACCTAGGCTAGGCTAAGTAGCCCAGTTTTTAACCTTTATGCCTGAGCCTGACAAGTAAGTTATTGCATTAATTTTATCTTAGGTGGTAGCCTAAGCAGCATAAGTTAGCCTACTTAAACTTAGGCCTAAGTGGGAATGTTCCTATCACCTTGCTGTTAAAGTTACCGTACCCTATGTGTCATTTATAATAGGGTTGCCATATGGTAATTTGTAAAAAAAGAGGATATTTTAGCTGGCGGCCCACACTACAGTAAATGGCTGCACTTTACTTTAGGTCCTACACTCATTCGAATGAAAATATCGAATAAAACAATTGAATAATCGATATTTTCATTTGGTTGTTTGTAGGACCTAAAGTAAAGTGCAGCCCAGTAAATAAAAGTGGTAATTATTTGGACGTAGAACCTAAGAGAACCTAAGATTTATTTGGAACCTAACCTAACCTAACCAAACCTAACCGAACCTAACCTAACCAAACCTAACCTAACCTAACCAAGCCTAACCTAACCGATTATTCACCGTTTTTTCGCCCTATCCCCGGTGTTTTTCATCAAAAATTCTTGCATATTCTTAATCTACACAATATCCCGCGTATTTTGAGTACCCACATGACGTATTTTGAGTAAAAAATATTTTTTCCCGTTTTTCCCTTTTTTCGGGAATTTCCGGTATTTTCCGAAAAATAAAAATGCCATTTTCGGATTCAGCGTGAAATTTAGGTCATTATGAAAGAAAAAAATTTCACTTTTGCGAGTAGTCACTACGTCCAAATAATTACCATAAAAGTTAACGGGCTGGCAAAATTGTAGGCCTATAGGTACCTACATAGCACAAATAAATAGTAAGTTACCCTAACTTATTATAGGCTAACAGAAACTGTAGGCCTATGGGTCATACCATACACTTAAAAAAAAGTTATGTCACTGGCCCGAAAGTAAATAAGTTTCTTTCAATTCTTTGAACAACATAACGAAAAAAGAACAGAAATTACAAAGCCAAATAATTGTTCCCACAGACACACAATGTTCTGACCACCGAGTATTCTGAACGGCATTGCCTAGATTCTTCCATCACTTCAGATTCTTCTACTAAACTAAATAGTTAAAAAAGGATACCTAACCAAGATGAATTGCTTATGAAATATTAAATTGAACTTTAATTATATAATGAAACCTCAGCAGCAGTTATAACACTATCTTTGTATCCTAACCTCTCGCTCAATATTTATTACTTACTTACTTGTATACTTGTGTTGATCCCACTAGTAGCTTTCCAGCCGTGGTCGTCAAAGTTGTTTAATTTTCAGGTAGGGCCTATCTTCTCTTAATCCTCCAAAAATTCTTCCAGCTTGTAATAGGCCTTTTCTATTAAATAATTTTTGAGGTTTTTCTTGAATAAATTTTTGTCTTGGCAGCTTCTTATTTCTTCCGGCAATTTATTATATATCTTACTTGCAGTGTGATGTGGTCCAGCTGTCACTAATGATGTTCGGTGACAATTCAGGTGTATATGGTTTTGTTGCCTGGTGTTGTAATTATGTAATTCGTGGTTGCGTTTGAAGACTTCCGGAAATTTCCATATCATCATAGCTGATTCCAATATATAAACGGAGGTAAGGGTGGGAACTTTAAGATTAATAAAAAGTGGTCTGCAATGTTCTAAAAAATGGGTTTTACAAATTATTCTAATAATTCTCTTCTGTAGTAGAAAGACTCTGTTTGCTTCACTGCTGTTGCCCCAAAGTACGATGCCATAACTCAATACACTATGAAAGCAGCCATAATAAACTTTCATCAGGATATGATGATCCACTATGTTTTGTAGTCTGCGCATAAGACAACATACTACCACAAGTCTTGAGGTTATATGATCAATGTGGATATTCCATCTAAGGTTATTGCTTATTTTGATTCCAAGATAGTTTACGTTATCATTTATTTTTAAGTTTTGATTTTTTAATTTTAAGAGAGGGCTATGGTCAGGTGCCTTTGTGTTGAAAAAATTTAAAACTGATGTTTTGTTTTCATTTAGTACTAATTTGTTGTCGTTGCACCATCTGATGAACGCCTATCTGGGACTTGCGTATTGTTTCCTCAGAGTTTTTATTATTAACTATATGGCAAACATCATCCGCAAAAAGCCAAAGAGCTCCCTCTTGTATTGTCTCTTGTAAATCATTGACATATAGCAAATACAGCACAGGTCCCATATTTGAGCCCTGCGGGACTCCAGTGTTGATGTTATTCTGAATTTTTGATCTGTATTGCCTTATGACATTATCAGCACCTAAGTTATTTACGGCTACTAACTGAGATCTATTTCCAAGAAATGACATAATCCAATTTAAAGGTGCATTTACTATACCCAATTTTTGTAGTTTTAATCTTAGGATCGAGTGATTTAGGCAATCAAAAGCCTTAGTCATATCATAAAATAGTCCAAGTACTTCTTCCGAGCAATCTACCTTTTCATGTACATGGTTAATCAGCGAGAACACAGCATCAATTGTTGACTTATTTTTACGGAATCCATATTGATTAGAATTTAAAATGTCTTTTTTTTCCAAGTATGGTATTAATCTATTTAAATATGCCACTTCAAAAATTTTTGAAAAAACTGACTGTATGGCCACTGGCCTATAATTGCTTACCTCCTCTTTACTATTCTTCTTGTGTATAGGAACGATTTTTGAAGTTTTGATTATGTCTGGAAATTTTCCTTCGTCAAAAGACTTATTAATGATCACAGATAATGGTTTTGCGATTACATCAACGCAAGCCAACAGTACCTTGCACGGAACCCCATCCACACCTGAACTAGATTTACGACATACTTTTTGTACAATTTCCACTATTTCTTTTTCATTTGTATGTTTTAGTTCTAATATTTCATGATTGGGTAAATCTACCAAATTGAAGTTTGGAAGGTCCGAGGATATAGGCCCACCTGAATTGGCTCCAACCAATTTGTCTACTTCTTCGTAAAAATAATTATTAAACAGTTATTAATATTTAATGCAACATATAAAACATAACTTTTGACAGTTGATCAAACACAATCCACAAGAAAACAACACAAGCAGAGCAGCCAACCAAAACAAATGGACGCTTAAACTAAACCTTATACCTGTGGGCATGGAGAAAACGAACAAAGGCTTAAGCTCAAGCTTAATTTTAAACTAGCTCAAGTTAAAAGCGTAATTTGGGGAAAGCGGCCCTGAGTTATAAAATAATTATGAATTATGCTCAAAACTGAAAGTATGCTAATCGAATCCTGGCCCTGACATTAGGCCTCCCTATATTAATAATATGTAGGAAACTTTAAAAGTTACGTGACTAAGTACATTTTAAACCTGAAAAATATTATTTTTCAAAAACGACACAAACACTACATCAAACTACTTATTTCTGGCACTAACTTAACTTAGGCTAACAAGAACTTTAGATCAATTTAAGATTACCTAAACACTTAGTGGACATCATTGATTGGTGTTGTATGCCTAAAAATATAATTTTGCCTAGTTGTTAGTGGTGAACTGTTTGCTGTTGCTTCATTGCTGCCAGCTTTTGTGGAAATGGTACCTATTAAACAATGATAATGACACACAAATATGTCAACAGTGAAAAAACTGTCAAAATCTTAAATATCAAAACTTTAGAATCTGAAAACTTGTCGATTCACGATTGTAGAGTCTTGAAACCAAATTTTTCCAAAGTTTTTATGGATTTGAGATTTAGTTTTGTCAAATCACTAGAGTTCAAGTCGTAGCTACAAAATTTTATAGTACGGTATACTAAGTTACTTAATGTAAAAAGGCCTTTTTACAGCTCGTCATTGTTGGGTAGGCCTTTAAGAAAGTTGAGTATTTTTTTTTTTAAACATGGATCAACCTTATTACCTACTATTACCTTATTACCGGTTCTTCATCTTTTACCCCATGGGGAAATGATGGCGTCATTAGTTTAAACCATATAGCAAAGAAGGTACCGGTAGAGTACCTCCTTTTTATTGTTAGAGTGTGTCAATTTATTTAAGATTTTCTATTTACCAATTATATAAAGCTACTAATGAGAAGCCTAGTTTTTCCAGGATTAATGCAAAGTTTTAGCTGTTTAAAAACCAGGTGGAAAGTTTTCTTCAAGATGTGTTGTTGTAACCACCTTGTCAGGAGCCTGTGGATGGGGTATCAAGATGAGTGTGTTCCAAAGCTGCAGCAACACCAGCGATGCGACCCCTCTCTCCTCCCCTCAGAGCTTGTACCTCAAACCTGTAGCTCGATTAAACATATCCGTACAGCTCCCCAACTTGAAAACACCTGGAAAAAGTATCTCCAACTGGGAAGTGATGGAGAAACTGCGACATTATGCCGTGCCAGAAGAGCTCTATCATCTGAAAGTAGCCAAGAGTACGTTAGAAGTAGTGAGGTTCGAAGCAGAGATAGAAGACCGCTCAAAACTTCTGGCCGTCTTGGCCCGACTCAATGGGCGATCTCTGAAACTCTCAGGTTTCCATGAGAGCCTTAAAGTGAGAGCGGCTGAAGCTAAACCTGATTTTCCTAATCGTCATTCGTGGGATTCTTACTTCCGGGATGCAAAAAACATGAATGAAATGAAACCTGGTGAAAGACCTGACACAATTCATATCACTAATCTTCCTTGTAAATGGTTTGCTGCAAAATCTGATGCTTCAAAGCCGAGTGAATATGTTTTGAGAAAAGTATTTGAAGTTTTTGGTGAAGTTCGATGTGTTGATATTCCAATGTTGGATCCTTTCAGAAGCCAAATGAAATCTCACATATCTGGTATTAAGATGTTTTCCAATAACCAGAACTTAATATTTGAGGCTTATGTTCAATTTAAAGAGTATATGTGTTTTGTGAAAGCCATGGATGCTCTCCGCGGAATGAAACTAATGCACAAGGACGAGACCGGAAAGGCTTTTACTGCTAGTATTAAGGTGAGTTTTTTAGGCTAATATAATCATGCATTAGGTAGTAATTTAAAGAGTCTTATGTTTTACAGAGTTCATTATCACAAATAATAGGGTAACCTCTTTGAGAAATGGTACCTATTAAAATTTAACATATTTCAGCAAGAATATTGTTTTAATTTAGTTACCGTAAGCTTTTTTGAATCATTTCATTCATTTTGCCACAAGGGCAACATTTTGGCCTGTAGTGTTTAAAAGAATGGTGGTACTTTTTACTGTAAAGGGAACATTTCTATTATCGATAGTTTTTTCTGATATTTCGATATTTTATTTTTTGATCTGATATATTAATATTAACGGATTGAAAAATATCAGCTGACAACTACATAGGCTAAATAAATATTGTTTAGTATCAACAAACAATTAAAAACAAATTATATTGAAATGAAACTGTTCCAAACTAAGTTACTGTAACCTAACTAGCTTAACCCAACTTGCTGTAACTTGATATTCTCCACATGTCTTTTTCTGTTATCAAAGGGAATTTTGAAATAGTACAGTACAGCAAGTTTGGTTAGTTATATTAGGTTAGTTTAGAACAGTTTCATTTCTTAATCCATTATTTTTGCCTAAACAATATCAGTTGTCAATTTGTAATTTCATGATGGGTAGCCTCTGGACCATACAGCAACAATAATAATGGTTTAATTTACCTCTGTCAATATGGTCCTTGCGTAGTTTGTCACTACTGCAGTTTCGTGCTCGTGGAACACATCTTCAGGTGAAGATCACAAGAGTTAAAACATTTTCTTCATGTAAAGGTCGTCAATTTTTTTAAAAACATCGAAAACATAAATAGGCTAACACACGAATGGTACAAAAAACATTTCAAAAATTGACGACCTTTACATGAAGAAAATGTTTTAACTTTTGTGATCTTCACCTGAAGATGTGCTCCACGAGCACGAAACTGCAGTAGTGACAAACTACGCAAGGACCATATTGACAGAGGTAAATTAAACCATTATTATTGTCAATTTGTAATTTAAAAATGCGTTTGAAGGTGTTAAAAAAGGAGGATTATGGATCGTAAAGGAAAACAAAACTATTAATATATCGAACAAAAAAATGATCCATATTAATGAATGTCTACAGTGTAAAACAGAGTAGTGTGATGGAGCTGGTAGTGAACCTGTTAAGCAAAAATGTTAACTCTATTTTATTTGTTGCTCTGATATGGAGCTCTCTCAATGAGATAGCAAGTTTACAAAATGTCAAAAACATTCTTTCTAGCAATAGGCCTAACACAGTTGAGATAATGGACTGGTTGTAAACACAACATTTTTTAGGTTTGAAAAAACTTATAGAAGATTGAGACTTTCTATTTCTCCTTACCTTCAAAAGGCTTTATGATGACTACTTGAAGTCATGTTGAAAACAAGAACTACACACCCGGAAGCATAGCAAAACGCCTTGTGATTTTTTGCAACAGAAGTGTGCCACAGTCACAGTACTCAATAGTATGCTTAGTTGCTTGAATCTGGTTTAAAATTGTTTCGATATTGTCGCAAACCGTGATATTTGCTTAAAAACTGTATCTTGCACAATTTTGGTTACTCCGTGTGTGCTGGGCCTTATTGTTTACTTTTTGCCCGCTGGAAAGGGGCACAAATTTAATTAAAAGTTGGATCAATTTAATTAAATGCATGAATATATAGGAACTAGTTTATTACTAACCAAAGTGGTTGTAGAGAGCTTGAATAATTGTTTGTTGAATTAAATTGATTCTGTTATTTGCTATTTATTAAAAAACAATTAAAAAAATTGTAATAGGCCTAGTATTATGTCAAGTGTTTAAGGTAATGGGCTTACTGAGCTAATACATGTGCAGGAATAATGACTAATCTAGACGCTATATACAGGTGGACTTTGATAAGACAAAACATCTGAGTGACAGCAGCATTCGTCGTAGGAGAGTCGAGCGAGAGCGGCTCATGGCCAAAGAACAGGAGCGAGAAGACCAAGAGCGGCAGAAGAGAGAAGAAGAAGAACGTAAATTGGCTGCAGAGAGGTGAGTGAAATTACACATTGTCCATTGCTGATGTTCTTTAAGGACATCATCAGTAAACTATAAAACACTACCAAAACAACAATGAGCCCAATACTATACGAATACTGATGTATGTGAGACCTCTCTAGTCTCTCTTGGTATAGTTAAGGACGTGAGTCTGTATAGTAGTCTTGAGTCATGGTAGGGTCCAAACAACCGTTAACAGAGTATTCACACGAAATATTCTCACTAATTACCCACAGAAGTTTTATGGTAACAGTTAACAATAATTGCTAAGGTCTCTGTTGAATGTATTCATTACATGTCTAGTAGTCAAATATTAACAGTGAATGAACTTTTTGAATGATTAAAACTCTATACTAATTTCATTTAATATTTAGAGGTTTGTGCTGGTGACACTAGTTAAAATCATGAAGTAAATATTTTAGTTATAAAATAAAATTGGTATTTTAAATTATGTTAGCAAATCATTAACATAGGCTAATCATGTAGTGTTTGATCTCATTTTCTCTAAAAATTTCAACAACAATTTCAAATACAACATTAAAATTTGATTACTGGACAGTGGACACCCCAATTATTGAGTCCCCTGTCTGGCCGGGCAGGTCAGACGAAGGAGCTCATGAGTAAAAGGTCTTCTAATCTGTCAGGTTCCACGCCTGGTGGAATGGAGTATGATGAAGAGCAGGCCACCCTTCTTAACTGCTTGTCCCTTCAGTTTTTGACATTAGTATATCTTGATTTGAAGTAGCCTATCTAAATCATTATATCTTTAATTATCTTTCTAATTTCTAGTATTTGCCTCTTGTCTGGGAATGATATTAAAAAGGAAAGACTTTAAAAACACAACACAAGGAAAAATATTAAAAATCATTTGAAAAAGTTGAGATGATACCTGTTCCTGACTAAGGTATCTCTTTTATAACATTAACGTAAAACTTGTTAAAATTCTAGCCCAAAAAATATTGAATCATTTCAAAGACCTATTTTGCGTTGTATCAACTTTAGAGATACTTTGAAGAAGAAAATGCCGTGTAACTTCCTTTTATGTAGCCTATATGCTTTGCCAATGCATAATGGCCTAAAACACCTTCTTGATCAACTTATTTGCCAACAGAAAGCGAGCCGAGGAGGAGAGGGCAGCTAAGTTGGAGAGACAGCGGCAACGGGAGGAGCGACGCAAGGCCAAGATGTTGGAGAGACTCAAGCACCGAGAGGCGGACGACATGAACAAAAAGATAGCGACAGAAGAAAGACTCTTGCTCATGGCTCAGCGGAGACTGGAGTCCTTTAGACTGTTGGGAGAGCTGTTCAACCGGCTCAAGGTCTGGTGGTCAAAGAAGAAAACATTAACTAACTCACTACGCAAATAACACTCATCGGTTATGTGTAGTCAAATCAAATTATTAAAATTCAGCCAAAGTTGACTAAAACCATTTATTGTCAGCTTTAGCTATGTCAACAATGATCTACAATTTAGGACGTTCACTAAGTGATACGGAGACTAAATTTTTTTTTACAATTCTAAGGCTAGGTATTTAGGGCAAGGTTATTCACATATTACTTATAGTATTTTTGTGTCAGGGTTTACAATATCCCTGGAAACTGTATCAGGAGGTAGTTCTTTGACTTTTGGCTGCTGATGTAGGAATCCCTTCTATACGAACCTGCAGCCTTTTTTTTATTAACAAATTATTTAGTTCAATGAGTCACATAGACATAGGGAAGAGTGGATAGATATCTTCGAATTTTAAACAATATACCTTTGATACAAGTAAGACTCAATTAGAACTCCACATTTTAATTCATGGTTGGATGAAATCGGCAACCTATCATTCCTATCAATCTATGTAAGGTTAAGAATTTTTATTTCTAATATGACATTATCCTATACTCATTTAAAAACCTTTTTTGTCAAAATTTTAAATCTTTGGCCAATTATTTTTCTTCCTGGAACCCATGAAATAATTCATGTTGTTTCTTTAATATATGAAAATGAAATGAAATAAAATGAAAATCCTTCTTTATTGAGGCGAACTTAGAACCTCATGGTCCTTTCTTACTGTTAACCTCTACCTATACATTAACATGGTATAAATAGTTCGATAGTGTGCAAATGATATCATAATTTACTTAAATGATAAAATAAAGTAAAAGTAAATGATGAAGTAAATAAGATCTTCATTCCAAATAATAAGTATTCTGAACTAGGAAATGTGGCACTGTATCTTGAAGTTTTAGCTGAGGTCCTTGCTTTTCAAAACAACCATTTACAAAAGCATTTTTTAAATTGTTTTCTTATTTTAGGTTGCCAAGGAAAATGAACGATACAATAAAAGAGAGAAGTGGAAAAAACAGTCGGATGGTGTGAAAAAACTAGGATCGGTGAGTGTAATCAAAAATAAAATTTACATCCGCTATGAGATGTGATTTTTAATGTTTGTTATTTTGTATATCATTTTAATTGCCACACATTATTTTGACAGTCACATTTTCAGCAAGTTTTTAGGTTCAGTGATAATATTGCACAAGTGTGTTGAAAGTACCAAAAAAGTGGTCAGGTATTTCCCTAGAAACAACAATACAGTTACCCTCTCTAATCCGGCACTGCACCACTCTAGCACCCCAGTAATCTGGCGTCTTTTGGCTGGGGAGGTCTTCTGCGGTTTGGGCAAAACCATTAACATCTCCCGTGGTCATGTAGACGTTATCATCGCCTCCCGCGGTCAAGGAAATGTCATCGTCGCCATGCCCGATCGCGGCAAAATCATAAACATCTCCCGCGGCCGTTTAGACATTATTGTTGTCTTCCGCTAAATCTGATTATCTCCCACAACTGTGTAAACATCATCATCCATTCCCGCGGTCACGGAGACGTTATCGTCGTCTTGCACGATCGCGGGTTTAATCATGAACAACTCCCGCAGTCATGTAGACGTTATCATTGTCTCCGGCGGTCACGGAAACGTCATTGTCGTCATGCCCGATTGTGGAAAAATCATGAACATCTCTGGTGGTCATGTAGATATTATCATCGCCTCCTGCGGTCACCGGTCACGGAACGTCATCGCCGTCTTGCGAGATCGCAGCAAAATCATGAACATCTCCTGTGGTCATGGAGACGTTATCATCCACTCCTGTGGTCATGGAAACGTCATCGTCGTGATGCCCGATCGCGGCAATAGCGGTTTCCTATTGCACGATCTTTGGAGTCAGTGCGTGCGGTGGATGGTTGTAATTTTTTTTTGTGTCACGGCAGTCATTACCATTATTGTTGGTTGTAACCATCACAGATTAAGACAGGTATTAGCCTTGTTTTCCCCAATGTTTAAAATATTAAAGGTTATCAATATCCAATGTGGTTGGAATAGCTATTTTGTATTAGTAGTGCATTGTAAGTTTTTCCCACTTAAGAAGGAATGAGAGTGTTTAATAGAAACGCCAACAGTGAAGTCAGCTCGTTTAGCAAGCAGAATGAATAAAATGGAAATGAGCTATTTTGCGTACATTTGCAAGTGTGGCAATGTGATCATTTCCATGCAGTTTTAAGAAAAATATATATCTTGTCTATTACAGGAAGAATCAGGGAATGACCTTCAAGAAAAAGAGAAAGCGCTTAGAGATAAACTTGTCAACAAATTTAAGCACGATGATAAAAAGGGTGAGTGCATTTATTATACCTTTTGTTTGGTAACTAAATAAACTATTCGTAAGAGAATGATCCAAACCCTGAACATAAAAAATGGTCATATCTGCATACAGGTGTATTGATAGATCTATATACTTGTAGCAGTTTTTCGACCTAAAGAAACCACACGGGTACGGGGAAGAGTTAATCCAAAGATCTGTTAACTCTTTTGGTAGACAGTGAACATTTAAATATTGATCCTAGAGTTTAATTTAATTAAAATTAGTAGTTAAGTTTTACACCTAGTAAAAAAAAAAAAAAAAATGGTTTGTATTGTCAACTACGTACAACTTACCTTTGAAGCCAATAACAAACCATGTCAAATTTATTAAGTTGAACATGCTAAGAGTTCTGGCTATCCCTGCAAGTACAACCTCTTAAGGGATATGTTATTCATTATTGTACAGTGTCCTTTAAGAACTTTACGGGCATATTAGTTTCTGTGGTTAGAATAACCTTGATTGTTGGCACATTAACTACTATTTAATCAAGGTTACATATTTTATTCAGCCCAGGCAATTCCTTTTTCAAGTACATTTGACTCTGTACGTATACATTTCGGGTTGGATTAAACCCATCATCAAGTCTACAGAAACATGAAACATCCTCTTTGCAGATTCATTACTTTTGGATTACGACATACACATAAATGACGTTTAAACATAAATTTGACCATTTAACCCTTTGCAGTCGTATTTGTTGTTCTATTATCCTTCCCTATGGATCGGAAAGGCCACACTTAGTGGCCATTTGGTTTAATGACACGACATTGTCAGCCCTTAAGGTAGCCCCACAGCTCGGGCAGGCCCTTTAAGCAATTTCTGATCAGCTCGGCTAGCTACCCCATAGTGGCCACCTGTTTCTTTATTTTTCTTGTTTTCGATTCCCTCCGCTTGGGAGGTGCTGCGCTCCCTCGACAACCATCGGAACTATCCACCAAGCTGTTGTTTTTATGAGCTTATAGCAATATATCTCGTTTTCCTTAGTGTGTTGTGCAATAGTCCTTTTAATGCCTTTTAATTTGTAATAAATTTATATTTATGATTTTAAATGTCCTCAAATAGAGACCTAACATCCTATACCATACGAGATTTATTACAAGTTGATGAAGATGACGATCTTTCCATCTCACATTTTATAACTGCACAAACAACTTTATTAAGTGACGCCAGAGACATAACATCGTTAACATTGAGAATGCTCAGGCTGATAATTGTAAATTAACCATTTGCATTATTTTTGATTCAGTTGTAACCGTAAAAGATACTTTGAGTGTTGTTATTAAATATTAGTGTACATAATTAAATCCTAATGATGACCAAGTTTACAGTTATAATATGTTAGGTTAAAGATCAGTGTTTTGGAGTTAAAAGGCTTGCAACACGGCATTTAAATCCAAGCCTCAGAGGTAAAAAAGAGTAGTAAAAATGGCGGCCAAACCAGGAAAGGAGGGGGGCCAATATGAGTGGTCCAGCTGAGTTATAGGCATCTTCGTATATTTTACAACTTGTCAGCATGTTACGGATCTCTTGGCCTTCCGACCGCTAAGGGTTAAAAAACTTATAGCATTTCGGTCGGGGAGCAGACTGGTGATAGACTAAGCGATAGTCAGTACGTAACCTTAATTACTTCAGCAGGCAACAATCGATAATAAAAAAATACAAATATAGTTGTTTACGATTTTGGTTTTTTAAATATAATTATTTTAAAACACTATGTTTTTGATTAAGTGGCCTGGGTCGTTAATTAATTCTCAGTAATTGATCTTTCATTCATATGACAAGTGGTTGAAAAGTCATATGAAGATTACGTTCTATCCATAGGAAACTTCAATGCACTATGATGGTTGAAACTAGATCCAGCTGTTCTCCTCCATCATTAGACTTTGATAAATGAGTACGGCTAAAGAACTGAATGTAGATCTAAGTTATCAAGACTAGAGTTATTTTATTGAGCAATCGTAAAAACCTTTCTTTGAACTATTTCTGCATGACTTTACCTTTATGACTACAAACTCTACAAACGGATCAACACTAGAGCAACATTTCCTCAACTCCCTATCGTTTCCAAACCAAAAGCCTAAGATTAAACTTGTAAAAAAAAACAGTCAGTTCAACATACATTATTTTTCGTCCCATTTACATCATGATTACAGTAAACCTTCGATAGTTCGACACGGGCTGAGCTATTTTGTCAAGTTATATTAAATGGTTACTATTGTGATGTAAAATGATTTGAACATTAATTTGTCATTTATTGCTGACTTGAGACTTAACTAATGAACAGTGAAATTGTTAAGCTTTTTAGTATTTTATAAATTCGGGTGATTTCTATATAAGACTTGTGTTTTTACTTTCCTGTATATTAAACTCCATTTACTCCTTATAGTACGAAATTTCGATGGTTCGACACCCCTTAAGTCCACAAAGTGTCGAACTATCGAGGTTCTACTGTACTATCATTTACCTAGCTGACATCCACTTACATGACTAAAGAAAGACCCTGACATTTGCCCTTTGATTTTTTATACAATAAGTTTGGAATAATGTAAGTGTTCATTACCAAAAGTGTGTTTAAAGCTAAATATGTTTTGTAGATAAATCTCACATGAACAGAGATGAAGGCAGAGGTTCTAGCAGTGGTTGTGATCTTTCTGATGCTCCGGAGGCGTACAATGATCTGGAAATGGACCAAGGTACCTTTTAACTTAAAAATTATTATTCTAGTTTCACAAAATTATGTAATACTAGCAGTCTGCCTGTTATACGGACGAGGGTAGTCAGTTGAAAACTTATTACAAGGGATATCCACGAAGTAACTGCCGTCTGGGTGTGGTGCGATAAGTAGTGGGGGTAGGGCCCTGGTTCTCACATTGGCGTGCGGAGCCATTCAGTACGCTTTTAGTTGTGCTAGAGAGAGCATCGTACAATCACGCGTTCTGTTGTTATAACAAAAAAACATGAGTGCCGCCATAGAAATTTCCGCCAAGTGTAAAGTGTGTGGTGTAATCAGATATCTGTAGTCGAAGAATCACACAGCGGCTGAAATTCATCGTGAATTGTGTGCGGTGTATGGCCCAAACATTATGAGTGAAGGTGTAGTCTGTCAATGGGTTCGGATTTAAAAATATGGAAAAACGAGGTTATTTAAACGTAAATTAATACAGTAGAACCCCGCTAATTTGAATTTCACCGGAAAGTCAATATACTTCGAACTATGGGAAGTTTGAAATATAGAGAGTTTGAATTAAAGAGGTCAGAATGAATAAAATTCGAATTATGGAGGTCCCAGTTTTATGTGTGGGGAGTTTGAATTATAGAGGTCAAAATAATAAAGTTCGAACTATAGAGGTCCAAGTTTATTGTTTAAAAGCTAAACAGAATACAATTTAAACACACATCTCTTGGACAAAATACTGTTTATATATTACCGTACAGGACATATTGAATTACAGTATTAAAAAATTACATATTAAATCAAAGAAAATGAAATAGAACATTGTTTATTCTGTATTAAAAAAGTATGTTATTCGTGACTGTTTTAAGGCTCTTTTGCATTGAATATCAATACTGTTTTCAATGGTTACAATGGCTGAAAAAACATTACCACCAGTGTCACTTGATTGTTCGATAAAATTGTGAATGGTTTCTATCGCACGCCGCGCTTCCTTTATTGTAACGAAGTGAAGCTGGTCGTCTGCTCCCGTCTCGTCGTCTCCACCCAACCCATCGTCTTCTGCTTCTGCCTGGTCCCTGTCGGCCACTATCTCGTCTTCTGTCAACGTTGCACCGACTTCAACGAAATCTTCAAATGTTGTGTCATTTACGTTACAGTGAGTCATTAAAACATTCCATTCGCTCTCGATTAGATCTTCAACAGGATCTGGTGTAACTGTGACGATTTCTGGTTCAGTTTCTCCATTTACAAATCCACACGTTTTAAAACAATTGTTTCTTGAGTTACATTTTCCCATGATTTGTTTGCCATTCTCATCGCTTGTAGGATATTGATTGGAACGATGGCGTTCTCTTCTTCGATATTTGATAAAATATGTCTAACAACTTCTTTCCTGTAGTCTTGAAAATTTTTACTATTCGCTGGTCCAGCGGTTGAAGTTTTGACGTTGTGTTGACAGGAAGGAACTGAACTTTGATTGCGTCAAGCTTTGGGATGTCATTATGGGCACTACAGTTGTCAATGAATAAAAGAATTTTACGTTTTTCCTTCTTCATTTGTTTGTCTAGCTTAAGCAACCATTGCCCAAAAAGGTTACTATTCATCCATGCTTTTAGCTTTGCGTCATATTCAAAAGGAAATTACTTAACACCAGCAAAACATCTCGGTTTTTTGTATTTACCGATCATAAACGGCTTTAACTTTTCTGTTCCTGTCATATTACTCGCAAGCAAAAGTGTTGCTCGAACTTTACTGTTCTTACCGCCATTACATTTTTCGTTTTTGAAAGTTAAAGTTTTATCGGGAAGACATTGGTAGTACAATGCTGTTTTATCAGCATTAAATATGTTTTTAGGATCATAGTCTTTCAACATTGTTTTTAGTTCCTCTTTCCAGTTTTTATATACATTGTCATCAACGATTGCACTCTATCCACACACCTTACGAAAAACAATGTCATTTCTTTGTTTGAATTTCTCCAACCAACCATTACTTGCTCGAAAATTATCATGGCCTAATGATTTGGCAAAACTTTCAGCTTTTTCTTTGAGGATTGGCCCCCATCCTCATTGCTTAAACATTTTTATAAAGCATTCCTCCACTTCAGGAAATTCGGATTTACGCACTCTCTTATTGTTTAAATTACCTGCCTCCATTTGTTGCCCAACTAGTTCCTCTTGTTTAAGGATCGTAGATAATGTGCTGGCGGGGATACCATACTCTTCAGCTGTATCCTTTTTACGTTTTCCACCTCTGTTCACTTCATCGATTATTTTAAGTTTTTCTGCCAAGGTTAAGGACTTGTACTTCTTACCACTCATTCTTGCTTACTGCATTAGCACTAACACTCATCAACTAACAATCAATTAGGTCTAACACCGCAAAATCTGCCTGACTGTTAAAGACGTCTACGTTGCATATAAAACGGTTGGGGACTGATGAGCTAACTGTGGGAAGATCAATAAGAGCGTCAGTTCATGTTTCAACAGGATAATTTTTTTGTCGTGAATTCGAATTGCAGAGGCTTACGGTAACGCAGTTCGAATTGTAGAGGTTGACTTAGAATTATGGAGGTAACACTTCGAATTACGGCAATAAATTCGAACTGTAGAGGCTTGGGTACGTGCAAATTTTAATTATAGAGGCTGCCTAAAGTGTAAAAATCACTTTGAATTATCGTTATATTATTTTTTGAATTTTAGAGGTTTTCTGATGGGAATAGAATAGACAAAAGTTTCTAATTATAGAGGTTTTCGAATTATCGAGGTTCTACTGTATGAGAAAATGTGACAAAAATAAAATAAAACTAGGTTTTTCAAACGTTTGTTATTTTATTTCTAAAGTAGCTTGGCCTTGTTTTAATATGAAGACATTATCACCAATCCAGTGAATACAGTTTTAATCTTGATCGATAAAACTTACCAGTTTCCTAGGAGTAGGCCGTGTGAATCGGCATTTTGGCATCAGAAATTGCTGGAGATAAGACTCGTTTCGGCTTTCTCAGGCTGTATAAATGATTCTACGCTATGTACAGACAAACCTGTAATTTTATTTTTATAGATGGTGTCCATATAAGTGGCCAGTTGTGAAAGCAATGAGAACTTTTAAAAACATTGATAGGTCTTTTAATACAGTCATGATATAGTCAAATATTTTTAAGAATACCAGACTATGTTGAAATTTATATTTTTGCGTTTTTAATGTTCAGGGTTGCCACCATAGTGGGATGATAAAATTCATGCAGAATTCATGGTTTTCATTGGTAGTTTAAAAAAATTCATGGTCGATAAGTTTTGCTGATTTCATAAACTGACGTTAAAGAGGCAGTTTCTTTGTGTGTTACTTTAGAATAACCTTTCATACTTGCTTAATATACAACTTTTTTAGAGTGATTTATTAACATTCAAAACAAAGTTGAAAACAAAACTGGTCAAGCTGAGATATTGGAGAAGAATTGTAAAATATATTAGTCTAGGTCTAATTCAGTCTTTTCACCGGAATAAAACAAAAATCCCACTCACTCAGCCAAAAAAAGTCCTGTTTTATCCCCCTACATAATTGTCATAAAAATGTGCATTCTGATTCAGGCCTATCTTATTCCACAACGTACTAAGATATGATGGTTTTATCCAATTAGCTAAAAAAAAACAGGTATCAGAGTCTGTAATTCGGTTTTATTGTGCACCCCCGTTTCAATTCCGTGCATGGTCTAAAACTTCTGTTTTTGTGATTTAAGTCCCTGTACCCCTTTTCATACACGGGGTTAGGCCTACTAATGATTTTTCGAACCATATTCAGTCCTCGAGAAGTCTCAGCTGACATCAGCATCTTTGGATGACTTCGAATGAACCAAGCAATTGTTTCCTGATCGTGGAACATGTTAAATAATCATCTCGTAACATTATTTTAATAGTGTTCGTTTCTATGAACTGTAAATATGAAATATTTTTTATTTGGAAATTTTAATGGTATTGGTTGAATAATTGTTGATTTTGAAAATTCATGGTCCATTGGAGAAATCCATGCATAATCCATGCCTTTTTTCATGGTCACAAGAATTCATGCATAATTCAAGCTTTTCAAGGTTTTCATGGCTGGTGGCAACCCTGATGTTGTCGAAGAAAACTCCCTAAATAAGAAATTTCATATATAAATAAATATTTATTATATGTTATAGAAGAGTACAACCAAGGATTTCATCGTGGGAGAGGTCGAGGACGGTTCAACAGAGGAAGGTGGCGCAACAACTTTAACTTCAGAGGCAATCAATATCCTCATCCTCAAATGCCTTTCCAGCCGTTCCCTAACCGAGGAGGGTTCTTTCCTAGAGGAGGCTTTCCTCGATGGCCTCGATATCAGCGAGGGAGAGGAGGAGGAGACCATGGCTTCTTTCCCCCTCCTTTCATCGACCCTTTCTACCTGATAAATGATCCGTATTACAAATACTTTCAAAAGGTCGCATTCGGGAACAACCACCCTAGGTCGAAATCTCGTTCTCGATCTCGCTCCAGTTCCAGGACCAGGTCGTATTCGAGGTCCTACTCTAGGTCGTACTCAAGGAGTCGTAGCAGATCTCGTAGTGGCAGCAGGTCGAGACATCGGCGCTCTCGCTCTCGCAGAAGCAGTAGTCGTTCTAGATCCAGATCCAGGGGACGCAGAAGAAGTAGACGCCGGAGTCGAAGTCCTCGACGCAAATCCCATTCTTCCAGACACTCGCACAAAAGTGACAAGAAACAAGAGAAATCGGATGTGGAAGTAAATGTAGAAAGAGATAAATCAGTAGAGAAAGTTCCGTCTGTACATACATGGTCGAGATCTCCTTCCCATTCTAGGTCTCTCTCTTGGGAGAAACGTAAAGATGAACCTTCTTCATCAACTGGTCACAAGCACAAGAAAGAGAAAAAAAGGAAGAAAGAGAAGAAGAAAAAGAAAAAGGATGACAATTAACTTAATAAAGTCGTTATCTAGTCAATCCATTATGTTCATGTCAAAATCATATTGTGGTCCATTGTATCTTATTTTTTTATTTTCTTACAATATTAATACTACATGTGAAATTGTCAATAGGGTTAGTGTCGTACTTTTAAAACTTGATATCTGTGTTATATACAATTGTTTTCTTACAATAGTTTTTAACAGTGATGGATGGGTTGATTGATATATAAATTAAGTGGATAATCTAAATACTGATAGTAATACATTAAAAAAAATATATTTCTCTTTTTACCATTGATGTCTAGGCTATTAGCTACAATAAACCAATGAGCAGTAGTTTTTGGTTGTATTGAGCATTAGACTTCAATTTCTTACAATAGGTACACAGTAGATAACCTCTTGTTCAGATCTCTGGTTTAAGCAGCCACTCTCGTGTAGCTTTGTCCATAGCTACATAAAGACAAAAAATCCTTTTCACCACACTATGATGTTTTTGGCTGTATTACATGCGTTAATTGGTGGCTGAAAGTTACGTTTTGCTGGCCATGCCAGCTGTCATCGAAATTTGGGGACCGAGCAGGTTTTTACAGGCCGGGGCCGCAAAATCAGCTGTCCGCTTGCTTACTTAAAACATGTATGCATTTTAAATACACAATCAAAATCCATAGCATTGCAATAGAATTGTGTTATTGTCGCCGTTGCCTAGCAACTATTTTATTTTTATTTTTGCTGATTCCTCAAATTATTTCTTTACATAACCTTAAAGTTGTAGTTGTGTTGACTATCAGTGTGCATTATTATAGTGGTGAATAGTGGTAATAGGGTATAGTGTGGTGAAAAATAGCGTTCGTACCACGGGCCGAAATGGTTTTGCAGCTCTCGATCGATTTAAGTTCTCGACTTTGTCTCGAACTTAAAAACTATCTCGAGCCGGCAAAACCTCATTTTCGGCCCTAGGTACGAAATATACTATTTCGTCCAGGGTAGGATAAAAGTTATTGCCATATTAATTGATTGTTTAGTGTTAAAAACTTAAGTTGTCTTAATTTGACATACACAAAGTGTGGGTTTTGTATAAGTCGGCCTTAGTCCACTAACAAGACTACAAGATCACGCCATTCATACTTGGCTAAAAATTTCAGTCCCAAGGAATCCAATCGAGAGGGAGTCTTCCATAATTTAATTACAATTTGTGTCAATTCAATGTTTAAACTATAAAATAAATCCCTTTATAACCTGACTATATCTTTTGTACTACAGCAAGTATTTGATTTGTTTTATTGATTAAAGAATATTAACTGAACTAAAAATTGATGTCATCACAATCATCCTAGCTGTCATATAATATATGTAATATAGCGTGTCGCTATGCGTCACGTAGCAAATAAACCACAAATGACTCAACACAAACGGTAAGAAAAAAAAGTGAAAAGAGAATCAACCCATCCTTATTTTTCATTTGCTTTGTTTTAAATAAGTAGCAGGCAAGTTCATTTTCACCAGAGGTAATAATTCTTCACAACCACAGTAGTATGTACTCCGATTATCCAAAATCATTGGGGATTAGGATATGCTGAAATTTTAAGTAGTGGGTCCCAAAAAATTTGGTATTTGACATAAAAACTAAATTACAACAGTTAAATAAATTGTATACAGGACATATTGTGTGCGGTGACAGCGGGGGCTTTCATTTTTACGCTCATGTTGCCATAGGGTCAACACAATATCGCTTCATACGCTCCCTCTGGGATTTTATTAATAATCATATTTTTAACATTTTACTCAAAATTGATTCTGATAATCTGATTTCTACTGTGGTTATGAAATATCTTCTGTACATGTTTTTAAAGCTCAGTTTTGACTTCCATGTCTTTAGTTGTAACTTGTATAAGGGAGTTTAACCTTTGGCCATCTAGTAGCTAAGATAGTTTAAGCTGATAAAAGTTTCAACCAATTTTCATATTTAACAATAATTAATTATTGTGAAAACAAAAAGTTTAAAACACTCTGTTTTTTTTACAATTCAGGTATTGTAGAGACTGATTCTTATTTAGACTCTTGTATTTATAGGGCTCACAAATTACATGTCTGTCCATATTCCTAGAACAACCCATAGACCAGTACAATCTGGTTTACAGATGTTTTTGTTGTGTTCATTTATTGTTTGCTGTCATTTCACTTATTCAATATAGTACAGGAAAAATAGTAAATAAAAATGAAAAAATTAGTTCAGGGATGAAACTTTGGTTTTAACTTCGTTTTACCAATAGAAGTCAAGATCCGATGAGTCCCTAACAGTCCCGATGGGGGAACATGGTTTTTAGGGAGTGGGGAGGGGGAATTTTGATATAATTCATTATTCACGATTTGAAGTCATTTAGGAAGTCGTTTTTTAAGGTTTGTATACACGGTGAATCGATAGGAACCATATTTAGGTCGATAGAACCACCTCCATAAGAGATTTAGCATATTGGTACATGTTTAGTTGTTATTTTTTCTAGGAGGGGTAGGGGGAATTTTAAATAATTTATGATTTTCGACTTATGACTTGTTGGATGACGTTTTCAATGGATTTCTACATGCCAAATAGAATGGAACAACTATTTTGTCGATATAACTACATTATTAACAGATTTGGAGTGCTATCTGAAATAAAATAAATGTTTGTGAACAAAATTAATTATTTAATATTTAAACATAAAAAATAAAACAATTAACTTACTGTAACATCAAGTATTAATTGAATGAGTTTATTTTTACAATACATTTAATTAGTCCTATTATAATAAAATACCCCCTCACAGCAAACCTGCAGACCAAGCAAATTTGTATTTACCTGACAGGATTACTATTTATTTTCTATTTAAATAACATTAATTTTAATGAGTCATTAGGTTTGCTGCTACAAGGGGTTGTTTTTATTGAAATGTTTATAGCTTAGTATAAAATAAACAAAATTGCCAAGTTTGGTTTAAATATATCCACAAACAAGCGAACTACAACAGTTTATTTATTTTATATTAGAATAACATGGGAATTTTAAATTTACATTTTTTTTATTATTATCTCCTTAACCTTAAAGGATAAGAATCCTTAAGGATAAGAAGTCGGTGAAAAATTACTTTAATTTTTACGGAAAGTAAATAAAAGAAACGTAAATAAAAAGAAACTTATTAAAAAAAAATTAAAGTACTTTTTTACAATGTAATGATGGAATGAAAATTTTTACAGTGTATGGTTTGTATATTTTTAAAACTATTCAGCATGTTTATAAAGATAAAAACACTGAAGTATCCAATAAATACAACACAAGGTGGAAAAATCTTACTGTAAAAAGTCATCATCGGCTGAAACTTTTAAAAATGAAACCTTCGTATATCGACAATTTATTCATAAGAAGTTTGCCTGCCTTACTAAAAAAAGATCAAAACAAACCCAATTGTTTAAAGAAATTAAAATCATTCTTAATTAATCCGGCTCCTTATAGTATAGATGAGTTTCTAAATCAAAAATGAATTAGCTATACATTCTAAAATAATTGTAAAATTGTATGGTTAAGTCTTTTAGATTAAGTTGTATAACCAATTTTGTATGCGTCGACACTATTCATGTATGTAAAATGTATAAAGTGGATAAAGGTAATTTGATTTGATTTGATTTGAACCGTTAGGCGTACAACCAGGCATATACTAAACTATTTAATCTTTTAAGCTCTAGAAAGTGGTTTGGAAAGAAATTGTGAAATTCTTTGTTGATGAGGTCAAAATGGGAAAATCCAATTTTCTCCCCATAAAAATCCCCATAAACCCCTGTTCCCATAGTCCAATCATGCTGGTTCACAAACTCGTTTGAATAAATTTAGGTTTACACGTTTATACCAAATTACATCAAAATCGGATAATTTGTGCTCGAGTTATCACGCTATATGGACACATATGTATATGAATTTGAAAGGATGGTGTGTTTGACTTCTAGGGACCTCAAAACAAAAATGTAAATTGGTCCCGGTCTAAGTCTTACCAGGAGACCTAAGGTAATAGCTTATTAACTATATGGGAAATTCGCTAAAAACCTCGTTGTAACTTAGAATGTATTCCTTTGACTTGCTGAAGGATATAAAAACAGTATACACATGTACGAAACATATAAAACATATATACAAACTTTGTAGGGGCTACGCAAAGGTTAATAGATATTTACTTGAACTTTAAATCATAAAACATGGTTTAAACCCTGACTTAATGTCAATGTATTAAAATGTATTATGGGTTTATGGTGACTTTTGTGGGGAGAAAATTGGGTTTTCCCATTTCTGACCCCACCAACAAAGAATTTCACAATTTCTTTCCAAACCACTTTCTAGAGCTTAAAAGATTTAATAATTTAGTATATGCCTTGTTGTACGCCTAACGGTTAAGGAGATAATAAAAAAAAAAATTTAAATTTAAAATACCCATGTTATTCTAATGGAAAATAAATAAACTGTTGTAAATAAATAAACTTGTTTGTGGATATATTTAAACCAAACTTGGCAATTTTGTTTATTTCATACTAAGCTATCAACATTTTAATAAAAACAACCCCCAATACATCCCTGTAGCAGCAAACCTAATTATTAATTAAAAGTAATGTTATTAAAATAGGAAATAAATCTGACAGTTTCAAGGACAAATTTTAGTAGAAATCCTGCCAGATAAACGGACATTCGCCTGGTCTGCAGGTTTGCTGCGGCGGGGGTATTTTTTATAATGGGGAAAATTGAATTTATTGTAAAAATAAACTCATTCAATTAATACTTGATGTTAAGATAATAGTTTTAATTTTTATGTTTTAATATTAAATAATTAATTTTGTGCACAAACATTTTTATTTCAGTCAGATAGCACTCCAAATCTGTTAATAATGTAATTATATCAACAAAATAGTGGTTCCATTCTATTTGGCATGTAGAAATCCATTGAAAACGTCATCCAACAAGTCATAATTCGAAAATCATAAAATATTTAAAATTCCCCCTACCCCTCCTAGAAAAAATAACAACTAAACATGTACCAATATGCTAAATCTCTTATGGAGGTGGTTCTATCGACCTAAATATGGTTCCTATCGATTCACCGTGTATACAAACCTTAAAAACGACTTCCTAAATGACTTCAAATCGTGAATAATGAATTATATCAAAATTCCCCCTCCCCACACCCTAAAAACCATGTTCCCCCATCGGGACTGTTAGGGACTCATCGGATCTTGACTTCTATTGGTAAAACGAAGTTAAAACCAAAGTTTCATCCCTGAACTAATTTTTTTGTTTTTTTGGTGAATTTTAATCTATTTTGCCTGTACTAATAATAATTATTGAATGAGTGAAATGACATTAATTATTAATGTTGGACTGTACTAACTTCGGAATAACCAACCACCTGTATTTTTATAAACCGTAAGAAGTGTTATTATAAAAAACAGAATACTAAAGATCCTTAATTAACATAAAGCTTTAATAAATAATAAATATTATGTAGATACCATTCCAGCTTAGAACAAACCTAACTCTTTTCTGTTATTTCATTGTAAAAGACTAAGAGCTTATTTTCCTTTTTGTACTTAGAAAGTAAACATGAACATTTGTTATTAAACAATTTTCTAAGAGATATGTCTTTTTTCATTTCTTTGAAGACCTACTTAGAAAAGTACTCTACTGAATTAACTCTCATTCAAATTATGTATATAAGTAAAATCTCAAGCAACCAGCTATGTTAAAATCTCAATGCAGAATGTTGAAACTTAACTAGGTTATAGTAGTTTACGCAACGACCATGTTAAGATAGTGTTGTTAAGATTATTTACGTGAGTTCTCTTCACTAAATTTTTAATTACTAACAATTACTACTCATCAAAGATAGTTTTCATTAATAACCTCTCATTACCACTGACAATGATGCACATCAAACACTAATTGCACCACTCAACAATTAAATTGGCCTGAACAGTAGATTAGTTGAAGCATTACAATTGCGTATTACTTCTTTTCTCTCAATCCTTGAACCTCATTGGTCCGTTACCGTTTTGTTAAGTTAAGTGAATCTTTTCAATTCTTAGAACAGTATGATGTTTCAAAATAAATAAACTAATGAATGGTCAGGAAAATTAAACAAATTCTTTTGATACTGTGTTACAAGACCAACAGTCAATTTAAGAAACGTTGTTGTTTCCATTTCTTAAATTGTTTGCTGATCTTGAGTCAACTACCTTTATTTTGATACATGTAGTTATGTACAACATTTTAGGTTGGAACCGCAAGCGGATGTGGCAACATGCCTAGTGCAAAAAGGGTTTTTATTACAAACATTTGTATATTTACAATATTTACATGTGGTATTTAAATGATGCAAAATAAATATACAACGATGAAAACTGTAACAGTCATAAAAAATATAAAACTCTGTAAAAAAGCCATAAAAACTTACTGGTAAAACAATACTTTTCTCGGAATATTAAGATATGCTGATGCTATTATTGTTTTAGATGAGAACTAGACTACACCTTTAACACAAGTAAGACTCTATTAGAACTCCACATTTTATTTCATGCTGGGATGAAATCAGCAACCTTTCAATTTCAATCTTAATAAGATTGCAACAATCAATAAGAGATTTGCAATAAAGAATATATTAATAAACTTTGTCATATCAACAATATAAATGCAATTTTAAAACCCACGTTATTTTTAAGAAAAAATGGTTATGCTATAACAAGTTTTTAAAATATAATTCAAGAAGGAAAGAGATCAAAACTAATTCCCCCTATTGGTTTCAAGCAGTATGAGATGACAATTTCAGCTGAAAGAGCCTCAAAAGAGGTGTAATGTTTTATCTTAGTTTGAATCATTTTTTGTGTTATCAACTTATTGGACTGAAATTTGGCGAATTAGTTTTGTTCTCTTTTTTCTTTCTAAAGTGAAATAATTCTTTAGTAAAAATAAAATGTACCCAGACAAGTGGGAAGCATCAGCGAAGTAGTACAGAAACATTTGATAATTCATTTTACCAACATTGAATATTGAAACATGCAACATTTTAAACTATTAATATATGAAATTCAACAGGTTAAGTTTGTTTTGGAAAAACACATACCGTACCATACTATACCAATCTAAAGAAAATTAAACATAGTAATAATTAGTTTTTATTTTTACTGTATAAATGAGATCTAATTATTCATTACTGCTTAAATTATATCCCAAAGTTAACACAGTGAAAACAATATGCATAACTGAAAACCAAATTATGTTTTGAATCTAACTGTCATATCACTTGCTGATTAAATGTTTAAATGATTAAAATATGATTAATGATTTAAATGATGTTACTGATTAAATGTGTATATTATTTGGTGCCAATACCATTGGATGAATTTATCCATGGGCCTAAAAATTGAAAAAAATATGAAAATGAAGGTATATATTGAAATTGGAAATATGATAATATATGAAATATAATCTATGAGGGAATGTATGTAAAAAATTACTTTGACGCAGAAAAATAAAGCTTCAACATAAAAGTCAGTCTAAAGTAAACACAAAAGTTTACCACCTATATCACATACCTATTTCATCATTGTTTGGTTCCAGTTCTATAGTCGGTCTACTTGGTTTCTTTTCTGATTCATCCTCAATATCTTCACTCTCTTCATTATGATCCTCGTCCAAATCTGCCCAATCACTCACAAGGGTCTGTGCTGTTTTGGTCGAACTTTCACTTTCAGTCTGATGGTCGCTACTGATTTGTAGAAGAGGCTGGGAGATCTGACTTAGAGAATCTTTCTGGCTAACCGACTGAGAAATAATCTCTATCTTCTGGCTCTGACTTATCGGCTGAGAAGAAATAATTTCTACCTTCTGGAGCATTGGTTGAGAAATCATATTCTGAGTCTGGGTTTGACTTAGCTGAATGGTCTCGTTTTGAGAGCTAATTTTCTGCATCCAATCCGCATTTACAAGAATTGGTTCTTGCACGATGATCGATTGGTTTGCTTGAGTAACTGTTTGTACATTGGATGTGGCGTCGACTGAAGAGACTATTGTCACTGGTGTTCCAGTGGCAACGTGCCCATTCACTTTCATCCCATCCGCGTAAGTGTGGTCTGAGGGGGATATTATAGAAATGTTGTCACTGTTAACATAAGTTATTCCTGTTGATGGCGCAGAACTGACAAGAGCCGTGGTGTAAACTTGACCTGAATCTGCCATTATTTCTGGAACAATATATTCTTGGAGAGAATAGGTGCCATCAGGGTTCATTACATAAGCTGTAGGAGCGCCTCTTAGGATTAATTCGGTTGAACCTCCATCGATTACGAGAACATCATTGGGCATGTTTCTGTCTGTAATGTTAATGGATGTTGCTATTCCTGTAGCCACATTGTTCATAGCTTCTGATTCAGATGATGGCATCAATGGCACAGAGGGATTTTCCGTCAGGATAGTCATTCCTTGAGGAAGGTAGATTGTCTGATTTTGGCCTGAGACTGAATCAAACACTGGCACTTCTATAACGTCCATAGTTTGATCTCCCTTTTTTTCTTGGGAAGGGTTTTCAACTTCTGGTGAGTCTTCCGCTTTGTCTTCATCGTCATACATTTTTCTAATACTTTCTTCTTGATGGGAGGATCGAATGTGAGCTTTTAAGTTGATGTTCCTGTTAAATATTTTACCACAGTACTCGCATTCATAGTCTTTTTTAGCCGCTTGATCAGTTTGGTGGAGATTGGTCTGCATGTGTCCCATTAAAGCTCCATGACTTTTGAATGCAGCGTTGCAAAGTCGACAAATGAATTCCTTAGTGATCATTCCAGTATGGTTGCTTCGATGTTTAATAAGCAAACTTTCACTGAGAGCGATGTAATTACATTGGTCACACTTGGGAAAATGAATATTTCTTGGAGGAGCAATGTTATGCTTGGTGTAGAGATGATAAAGGTGAAGATTTCGTTTGCTCGCTTTGTGCCCACAATATTCACAAATCCTCGCATCTATTCGCTCGTTGTGTATCTCTTGCAGATGTCTCCTGTAGTTGTAGTACGTTTCAAATTTTAAAGGTCCATCTTCAGTCGCACAAGTTATACATGACCAAGGACCAGTAGTATTTTCCGCTCCGTTCGAGGCCTCTTTTACTTCTTTTTTTAGATTGTTCAAGTCTGATTTCAAGACTAAGTACTGAACTTTCTTCTTACTTTTTCCATCTTTATCTAAAGAGTTGGTGGAAGAGGAGAAACCAACAGGACTACTCCCTTGAATTTTCAACTTGATATTCTTATTTTTCATCAAGTCAGGAAATTTCTTCAATACTGTATTGATGATATTGGCATGATTGTAGGCACCGCCCAAGCTTTGAGGGGTTGCCGGTGTAGAGACAGCTGCTGCTGTGGAGGCGGAGGCTGGCGATGAAATCTTTTGTATGACGGAAGGAGTGGAAGTGGGAGGAGAGGCGGGAGTGGTGGAAGTAGTGGGGGAGGTGTTGGTTGTAAGAGAGGTGGTTGTGGTTTGAGAAGAGGAAATGGGGAGAGAGGTGGGAGTAGTGACAGGTATAGAAATAGAGGCAGAGTGAGAATGATTTACAGGTTGAGGATTGGATGGTGTTGCAACAGTCTTTGTTTCAGAAGATACTGCAAATCTGACTTTCTTGCTTGGGGAGGGAGAAGAAAAGGTTTTTAAGATGGGCTTCGGCGGTGGGGTTGTAGGTTTCAAGCTGCCAGCAGCGATCGAATCCTCTTCATCACCATCATCATCAATTTCATGAATAGACTCAAAGTGGCCATCGTCGTAGTCATCTTCTTCTTCTGTTGATCCTCGAATTACTTCTGACGCTCGAGCTCGCTTGCCAAGCTGAAACAAAATCAACCTTATTTCAAGATAATGAAAAAGATAACTCTTATAAAGAAGGTTTATAGAGAACAAATATTATTATTTTGGCACAGATATGTAGATGACATAAAATGACAATCATGTTAGTCAGACCTTAACCTTTGACTATTAATACAACTGTATCCAATAGTCAATGCCTTAACTGAAATCTGAATGGAGTATGATCAAAATTCGAATTAGTTTTTTTGAGTAAGCGAGGTTTGAGTTATGAAGGTGCTATACCAACAATTTGAGATACCAAGACGTTGGATTCTGACAATGAAGTTACATCACAACCTTCACAACTCGACTTTTATGTACAAAACCTTTATAAATCGAACTCAAGCTATTTGTACATTCTTAGGAACTGTGGAATTAAAATAAAACAATATATCTTGCATACAAATGGTATACTGAATGGTCTTCCCTTGCAAAATCGGTCCTGATATAGGAATGTTTTATCTCCACACTGTTTTAAACACGTTAAAACACATTTGTCCACATCTTTAAACTCATTGTTTTTACATATTTTCTTATTGATTATTCCATCTTCAGCACCATACTTTCCCCGGTTTTTCAAAATCTCCGATAAAGTTTTAGGCGGAGTACCAAATTCCCTGCCGATTTCACCTTTTTTCTTTAACCCATCATCAACTGCCTTAATCACTCTTTTTTGTCTAAGTTTTACACTTACGCTTAACTGGAGACATGAAGCTCAACGCACACAAAATTATCTCAATAACTGGCAGACTTACTAGCCATTGCCTAACAAACAAAGAAAGTTGGATTTTTCATGTCTTGACAAGAATCAAAACACTGCTGCCTAATTGCACTGTACGGCAAAATTTTCTGTTATTGAGGCCCATGGTGCGAACTTTGACTTATAAAGGTATAGACTTTGAGTTATTGAGGTTGTGTATTACTGATCAAAAAACGATTAAATTGTTTTCGTATGAAGAAAAAAACCTAGTTTTGTATGAGAAAAACCAGCTCGCACATGTCTACACTCAAACTTAATGCAAATTACGTACAAACCCCTATTTTCCGCTTGGCTAAAAGCCCTGGCAAGCATTTCAGAACACTGATAGGTTTATTTTTTTAATTTGAATAACCTTTTTCCTCCAACAGGAGGTTTGAAATAGGTGGGTGTTAGGATTACAGGGGTTAGAAATGGTTGGATTCTGGAGTACCAATCGATTTCATGAACAATACCTAGGAACAAGAGGTAAATAATTTTACCGTAGACATTGTGGGCATTCTTTCAACTGAGTCTACTGAGACTACAGGCTTGGGTTCTTCACAAGGAGTTATGATGACCTGAGATTCATACGAGAGGTTCTCAAAAGTTTCGGTAAAATCAGGAATTCCCTCCTCATCGCACAACTCGAACCTTGATGGCTTCGGTTCCACAGGTACAGGGGGTGGCGGCAGCGGCTTCCTACAACATACATCAACTTAATAATAAACTTACAGATGACTAGGCCTACTTGGTAAGGGAGACAACCGACAAAAATTTGAGAACTTGATTGCATTCATAATATGTTACGTTTGACATTAAATAGTTTTTTTTTAGTTAATAGATACTTAAAAATACAGGACAAAATTTAGGTTATTTCTAGTTTAAAATGTCTTAATAAAATTATTTTGTTACCTTACAATATCCTTGTTCGATGTTGGTAGATAAACTACATGTTTCGTGGCGACTGCCACATCCTCAGGTTTATCCTCTTCTCAGATTCCAAATGTGATGTCTTTTACGTGTGTTCTATGTTTTTTATTTTAAGTTTATGACGAATCTGAGAAGAGGATAAACCTGAGGATGTGGCAGTCACCACGAAACATGTAGATTATCTACCAACATCGAACAAGGATACTGTAAGGTAACAAATTAGTTTTATTAATATAAAACAATATCCAGAAGTAGGACGACGAATTCTAAAATGTCTTACTTTTATAGGGGGAAATTGTTGGCAATTGGATAACTGAAATTTTTAGACATCCATAATATAAATCCCAAAGTACCCATGAACTTTTGAGAAAACTACAAGTTACACCCCCATAAACCATATATTTAAAATGTTCGTCATGGCAAGAAACCTTGCACAAAACTAACAATTATTTCATAAATTGCCAATTGCCCTTTTAGGTCGTAATTCTTTTCGAAAAATAACTTTTCATATGCCTAATGTTAAAAATAGGCCTACATCAGCTGTTCTTATTTATATGTTGTTCTTTCAATTTATTACCTTGTTAAAATCATGTGTGATTATTTGTTTGTATTACTGTATTCTGTTTTGTTTATTTCAGCTTAACTTAACCAATCAATAGTTCCTTTAACTGTGTATTATCATTGATACTACACAATTAGTCCGTGTATATTCAATGGTATTATAAGCAAAATGTTAAGCAAAATTAATTTAAATATAACATAATGTAGCCTACCTTTGTAACTACTCAACAAGTAGGGTTAATGATTGAAAAATTGACTTAACAACGTATATCCTTGTGACGCCTTTCAAGGTCACAAGGATCACTTGACAGCAGGTAAATTCACCAGTACACGGAAACAAAGTATTGTCTAACTATCCAGCTTGCAAATTAAACTAATTAGATTTATGTAACTACTAAATAGAATGTTTTATTTGGATGAAAAAATAGTTACTTACCTAGTTACAGATCGGCAAAATTCCTCTGGTATGTTAATAGTTGTCCTCTGTTTCCATATCGGCAATCTAAAAGCATGTAAAGGCGATGAATGAATAGACAGCACTTTGAAATACCGTAGGTATAATTCTTTAGTATGTGTACTTTTTACATTAGGGAAATTGGTTAATTTCTTCAAGTTTAGTTCTCATCCAAACTAACGGTGCTTTTACACTTTACATACAATTACATGAACAATAAGAAAATAAAATTATAAAATTATTTTAAAAAACCAACAATTTGTAGTACCGTAACTGATTATCTTCGAAACCTATGTAAGTAAAAGCCCTCACTCACTGACTCATTCATCACTAATTCTCTACCTTCCTGACTAACTAGAAGGCTGACATTTAGTATAGGTACCGGTACTCATTATTCAGGCTACAAATGGGAAAGATAAACCGTTTTCATAATGATTTTGCCAAAGGGTTGGGCCCTTAAAGGCCCAATGTTATCTTATGGAAATTCAATCTTTGCCATTCATTTGAATCAAACCTGTATAGTGTATAGACTGTACCATATGTTGGAAAAATTTTTTGTAACATCTGTTACAAAATGTTTGTCTTGTTTGTTTTTATTAAGATTTAAATATTGTGGGTTGACCTGTTTTGTAAAAAATATACTTCGTAAGTGTTGTGTTCTTGTTCTTAGCTAGGTACTAAAAATAAGCTAATAGGCCTAACTGTAGGGCTCGTGGTAAGACCTGGGCCCGGGACCGATTTACTTCTGTGTTTTGAGGTCCCCAGAGGCCAAAAACGCTATCTAAATACAAAGGAGTGTTTCAAAATGAATATCGGGGTTTTAACGCTTTAAAACTTTTATTACAATAAATAAAAGCATTAAATAAATTGTGCATTAAACAAATTGTCATTTATTTCCTCGCTATAAATGACACATCGAAAAAAAAGGGGAAATTCGCTAAAAGCAACTCAAAGAGTATAAGCTTTCAAATTTAACAAAGTTGATCCAGTAGAAATGTAGAAACTGTAGAAGTGTGTTAGAAGCTTTGGTTGTACAAAGTTTAAAATTAATCTCTAACTCTGTATTTTTTCACCACTATAAATTCGGAGGATTCTTATCTTTTTAGCAAATAACTTGTAAATGGTGAGAAATCGACCAAAGTGGAAGGTAATACTGTATTCTGAAAGATAATAAAATTTCATACAAATTACTATTATGCATTTCTTGAAAATGCTCAAATGTGAAAACTCCCTTGCCCTTGTCAATGTAAACAATAGACAAAGTAAACTATCGTCTTTACTTTCGGTGTGTCAATGCTCTATAAAAACTTTACTTGCATACACCTACTCTAATCAAGATCCGAAGCCAATCACGCATAACTATCCCACCATAGGAGCTGAAAATGTAGGTATGCACTATGCAGGTAAGCAGAGTTTTCATGTCTGCAAATCTTACAAATGCTTTTTATATTGCAAATTTTCTGTATAGAAATATATCATCAGAGATTAGAGACCTACAGGTATCTCTTCCGGTTTACAAACAAGCTGTAAGCAGTTGGCAGTCGGAGATTGGGCTCGATCAGTCTGAGACACTTACGGTTCAGTATACAATACCTAAGGAGATTAACACTTCACAAATACGCCAAACCATATTTAATGCACATTAACTCGACCACTTGTTGCTTAGTATTAACTGGTCCTGTAGCTGTCTCATAGCTTAGTTTTAAATATATTGATTAATTTTGATTTATTTTTATACTAATTTCAACTTTTGTAATGGAACTCGTCCCATTGCACAGGTCTTGCACGGACTATGCGGGACTATTTTTTCGTATGTCTAATATGGATATAGATTGTAGAATTTTTGAAAAAAAAAAAAACAGATTTTGATTTGATTTTGGTTTGGAGACCTGGGCCCTGTTTCATAAAAATACTAGTCTAGTAATTACTAGTCTAGTAAATACTAGTCCCGTATTTACCTGTCCTACTAATTTGTGTTTCATAAACGTTTTCATACCGCTAGTAAATACTAGTGTATTTTACTAGTCACGTGACCAAAACTACTAGTCACGTGACCAACTTTACAAGGTAAACTTTCAAAACAAATTTCTAACCTCAATCACGGGTTTTCAAACCCTTTATAAAGGGTTTTAATTTTGTTTTCATTTGATACAAAAAGGAAATAGTTGTAGAAACGCAGTGTTTTCTTTTAATTAATAACTATATAAACACATAGGTAAAACAATCACACATTATTTATCAAAACGCTATTATTTATATTCATCAATGAGCCCCCGACACGCCGGCGCGGCGCGGCGTCGCGTCGCTGCAATCAACACGGTGATTGTAGTAGCCGGTTGTAGGCCTAGTTACGGCGCTCAACAGTTGGGTGGAAGTTGATCTGTTGCTGCCGCATTCGCTGTGATTTGTATAGTTTTTGTTTTATTCTGACATATAAAATTAAGCTTGCTATGAGTAAAGAAAAGAAGGCTCAAATTTCGAATGTACTGTAATTAAATCGTCTAAGGACATTTTGTTTATTGGAACGGTTACAAGTACCCTTACCTATGTTTTCAAATATTCGAATACATAAGGATATTTGGGTTAAAAACCATTTGGTGATATTCTAATTTTGAGTCTACAAACCATGAATAATAAGCCTAAACGTTTATTGATGTAACAAATAATTGCAACGCCGTTACAAGCAATGGAGAAGTAGGTTTTCAAGTATAGTAAAACATGGCATAGGCCTAGTCGCTACGGCAGGGCGTAGCTCAGAGGAGGTAGAGTTCTCGCTAGTCATGTGGCGGGTCCCTGGTTCAAATCCATGCCACTAACTATATTTTTTATTCCTTTAATTGAACTTTTACATGTTTTTACATTAAAATAACATAATCAACATCTAATTATTTTATTACTTTGAATAACAAATTCAGAATACCAAAATGGATTAAAAGTAATGTTTTTTATGATAAGCAGTTCAGTTCAACGCCCAAAAATCAAATATATGCCTACAAAATTGTTAGTGCATCACAGGGTTTCAGCACCTCAAAAAATACAATGCAACTCCTCTTTAAAATTGTCTTACTATTATTTCCTATTAAAATATGTTTTTAATAAAACCGAGAGCCTTGGGTGTAAAATAATCTGATTAATGTTGCAATGTTGGATACATTTGTTACATCTTTGTATGCAATACGGTATGCGATGCAGTTTTAATTTGGTTTTTCAAAGCTTAAAAATCTTTTCTCTGTGATAGCTAATAGTTGATATAACCATGAAATTTAACTCAAGTAAAATTAGACTAAAATTTCACAGAAATTGATTACTTAATTATAATTAATTCTAATAGGGCGATTGTACATACATTATAAAATTCTATTTCCCTCATTTTGTACTACGCCACATTTATTGATTGTAATTTATATCAAATAATTATCATTTTAGCACTCACAGATCTATTTTTATCTTAAATTGCAAACGTGAGCCAATTTGCACTTGCAAAAAGAACTCAATAATTCATTTTCTTTTATGATGTGAGTAATGAAATAACTCTCTTTCCAAAAATACTAGTCTACTTCAAATAATACGGGTGTAGAGAGGTTGTTAGGAAATGGCAAGTATTTACCAGTGTAACTTACAAGAGTAAAACTTTATGAAACACGTTGCTGTCTACACTAGTAAAAACCACTAGTAATACTAGTCCCTACACTAGTAACTAGTATTTTACACTAGTAGGTTTTTGAAACGTAGACTTGTAAAATACACTAGTATTACTAGTCCATGGACTAGTAAATACTAGACTAGTAGTTTTATGAAACAGGGCCCAGCAGTAAACTCTCTATTCCTTAGTTGAAAATTCTATCAGTGACAGTGAAATATTCTTGTTTTGCTTAAGTAGTGTTCAATTTTGTGTTTCTCGTGCCAGTTTAGACTCTTTCCCATTCCAGATGATTTGGCAAAAGAACATTTTAAGAAATTACAAATTTTTACAGTTTATGGGCAATATATTTATGCAGCAATTAAAAAAAAAATGAATCTGAGCAAGTAAAAAATTCAGTGCAAGTTTGTCCAACCTCACTAATTGAAATTTTTTGAAAAATCCTTCATACGCTGGTAACAATTTTCTAAAATTTGTTCCTGAATTCATAAAAAAAGAAACAAACGTATCTAAATTCAAGAAAATTCTAAAAGAGCATATAATAAATCTAACATTATGTTCTTTTGATGAGTTTTCCACCTCCCATAAATAGAAATAGGATTTTTATTTTAAGTATTCTGACACTAGGCTATTCACTGTACCACCAATGTACATGATTTACGACGAATAAAGATGTTTGAATATGAATATGAATATGCTCACTACAAATCCCAACAATTAAATCAGTATTTTACAAACCTACCAACAGATATCCAAGCATCTAAATTTGCTGACTTCAAATAATAAGCAAACTTAATGATTTTCGGAGACTTTTACAAGCTATTTGTCAAATATAGGTCTAACCATACCAAATATGATAAAATGAAGCATCTTCCCTCACAATAAAACTCCCCCAGCACTGGTCAAAAGTCAATGAAAGCCGACAAATTCAAGTAAAAAAGATGTGAACTTACTTTTTCCCTGGCAGGATAGATGAAGTAGGGGTAGATGTTTGACTGGACGAGGTGGGAGTGGGGGAGATAGAGGGAGAGTGTGATGGAGACGTTTCAGACACCTCACCACCAGTCGGAGTTGCTTGGTGTTGCTTCGATATGAATCTCTTTATGGTAGGGTGTGCGACGTTGTGTAGTTGTGAACTTGGCACGGACGCTGACTGAAAAAACATTGTAAATGATTTCATTTACACTAGCAACAAATCATATTATTTGTAGGATCCATACGGATGTAGCTCTTTTCAACAGCAAATTTCCTGGCACGTGTCAAGTATGGTTTGTAAAAATAAACTTTAATGCTGGAGGACAATGATTAGCTGTTGTTGACTAAATGTAAATCATCAATTTCATATAGGACAAAGTGTTGAAGAAATCTTATGAAAATTACCTACTAATGTTACATATACAGTACAAGGGAATTGGTTTATAACCTAGTTCCTTTACCATTTTGTTGTTACGGCCTTTATTATGTTGTATTTGAACTTAAATATGAATTAACTATGAAAATATTGATACTGACTAAGATCAGCTATATTTTTGGAATTTTCTCCGTTACCAATAATTGTACAAAAACACTTTGATATACTAAATTATTTGTTTTTTTTTAAGCTTTTTAATAAGGTCTAGAGATAAATTGGAAAAGTTTGTATTTTGAGGGTCAATAATTTATTTTTGTAAAAAAATACAACCGACTTTAAACGCTCTAAAAAGAATGAAATAATTTCAATAAAGTAAACTTTTGTATTAGACAAGCTCACGTATTTTAAGTCGGCGCGGCTCTATGATGATTTTTGATACAAAATTGAAAAAGGGTGTCCATATTGCAGGTGACTATCTATAACTAAAGGTGTTAATCTGCATGTATTTTTCATAGTTATGCGTTAAGTGTTATTTTATTACCATAATCAGAGATCGGCATTATAGTGGTATTAACGAGTATCTTTAAAAAGATTATAACGCACTTAAATGTTTCTAACTTGGAAAAGTAACGTTTTAATACTAAACTAGCTTCTTTTCCCTATCATAATATCAAACTAAATTATTTTCCTATTCATATAGAACATTTGTGTGTGTTATTTTCATAATGCATTTATTCTGAATTAAACATAAAATACAAGAAAATATTTCCTTTAATATATAAACAAAACAGTTCAGTATGTTTTTATTATATTTATGTTATCCAGCTACAATTTATTGATTTTCAAAATACACACACAATATTTAATTTCAATCTTATTTTCAGTTTGAGCCGCGCCGACTTCAAATGCGTGAGCTTGCCTAGTACAAAAGTTTACTTTATTGAAATTATTTCATTCTTTTTAGAGCGTTTAAAGTCGGTTGTATTTTTTTACAAAAATAAATTATTTCATAATTTTAAGTGACTGTATGATTTTTTTATAGGCCTATATTAATTATGTCCTTCGTGAAGAACAAGCAGGATTCAGGGAATCTCGATCGACAACAGACCACATCAACACTTTGAGAATAATCATTGAACAGTTTGTGGAGTATCAAGCTTCATTATATATAGTTTTCGTGGACTTTGAAAAGGCCTTCGATTCTGTCAGTAGGAGGAAGATGTGGGCTGCAATGGAAGCTTTTGGAATTCCTCACAAAATCATAAGGCTCACACAAAAGATGTATGATGGATACATTTGCCAGGTGGAACACGCTGGGAGCCTCTCAGAACCAATCACAGTGGAGTCTGGAGTAAAGCAGGGGTGCCTCTTGTCACCAATATTGTTTATAATGACGCTTGATTGCATGCTTCGGAAGGCAACAAATAGAAACCGAGGCATAAGGTGGGGGTTGCATAGCCGCCTAGAAGAACTGGATTTTGCAGATGACTTATGTCTCCTTGCAGAAAGCTTCCGTGACATTGAAATGAAACTAAATGATCTCCGTGTAGAAGCTTCAGATGTTGGGCTTAAAATAAATGGAAGGAAGACCATGGAAATGCGTATAAATGCACTTAACAATCAAGTCTTGCAGCTACACAACAAAGACATTGAGAGCGTAACTGAGTTTTGTTACCTTGGTAGCATGGTAGGACTGGATGGAGGAACAGACCTAGATATCAAAAGCAGAATTAGGAAGGCCAAGGGAGCGTTTGCCCAACTACGCCCTGTGTGGACATCAAGGCAGATTCTGCGGAAGGCAAAATTAAGACTGTTCAACTCCAATGTCATGTCTGTCTTGCTATATGGCTGTGAGACCTGGAAGATTAACAACACAGAAGTGCAAAGCCTACAAGCATATGTCAATAGGTGCCTGCGGTACATTTTGAAAATCTGGTGGCCTAATGTGATAAGAAACGAAGATCTTTGGATGATAACCAAGCAAGAACCAATCAAAAAGATTATCACCAGAAGAAGGTGGAGATGGATTGGCCATACGTTGAGAAGGCCGCAGAGCTGTATAGCAAGACAGGCACTAGACTGGAATCCGCAGGGAAACAGAAAGCGGGGCAGGCCAAAAACAACATGGAGGAGAACCATAGAAAGAGACCTAGCAAGAAGACAGCTGACGTGGAGACAGGCCAAGGCACTTGCTGAGGATCGAGACGGGTGGCGAGATTTCGTCGAGGCCCTATGTTCCACCTAGGAACTCACGGAAATAAGTCTATATTAATTACTTGAGGTTTTTTGATAAGCAAAACAGTTTGAAACAATCAAAGTTTCCACAGAACAATAATTATTTTAAAACTGCTTGAGTCACCTGTTCAGGTTACATAATCAATGGGTATAAAAATAAACATTTTTAGATAATCCTTAAGAAAGAAAGAGTTGTCCATTACATTAGGCCTAATGAAAAACTAATTATCTTTTCTAGATACATTGAAATGTCAGACATCATCATTTCCTGCAATCGGTGTACTTCTACATTATAAAAAGAAATACAGTAACGTCTCAAGCCTTTTGGAACAATATGAAGGTTATTCCTTAGCTACCAGCACTAAAAAATCTCTCAAAAGTGGAAAATTGGTCGTTAACACGTATAGTACCTTTGGAAAATATTGTATGAAAGATTGGTTCAGCTAAAAGTGGTGTAAGCCATGTAGGGGGGTTTGTTTTCTCAAGATATAGCCTAGTCGAAATTGCAAATCATCTTCCTCTAGGACTTTCCGAAGCAGGCATAATAGTATTGATATGATATAGTACAGTTGTCGCAGCAAGTCTGGGTGCGCGGACCCTTGTGTACTAACCGTCCCCCACGCCAAAGCCATGAAGACAGCAGTGAGGCACTGAACAACCCCAGAGAGCCGTGTGGGCCAGATGTTTTTGGAAAAGAGCAATAAACACTCCCCTCTACACCCCGCACCCTAGCGCGGCCGCGCGCCCAGACTAGCTGCGACTACTGTAACTGGGTAGAGAATATCAATAAACATTCCACATCTGCAAATGCATGTTTAGTAATTAAAATATTTAACACTTTTAAGACAATTGACGATTATGCACTGTCACACTTCTTAGGTCGTGTAAGGAATAATTGCATTTAATTTATATTTAGACCTGTTTTACGAATGCTTTGGTTTTCACAATACACCTTTATTTGTCAATATCATACAGCTATTCACTGAAACATATATGTTTTTGTAAGTCAGAATATTCAATACTAAAAACAGAATTACTGTATACACAAATCAGGTCAAACGTTAAAATACATTTTGTATAGTAACCAAAACAAAATGCATTTTTCTCAATGTAATTCATTTAGGCTCCATGGCAAGAAATAGTTTATTGATCAATATGAAGCAACTGTTTCATGAAGAATTGTCTGTAGCTTCATTTAAATGGTTTCAACTAACAGCTGTAGGAATGTTATTATTATTTATTGCCTTCTCTGCACAAATGTAAACAATCTGCACAAATGTAAACAAAATAAATGTTGAATATTTTTCACCGAAACAAATATTATACTTAAACATAATATATAAGGTACCAAATAGAAACTCTCCTGGTTATTTTGGTGGTGGAACACCACTGATCGGTAAAAGAATCACAGAGAAATTGGTGAACATACATAGAAAAAAAAACATCGCCACAAACAAATTGAGAACCTCCTCCTTTTGTTGGTAGTGGGGAAGTCGGTTAAAAATGAAAAAAAACACAATTTTTTACCCCATAAAACCCTGTTCCTATGGTCTGATCATGCTGGTTTGCGAACTCATTCAAGGTTATCCCGACTTACACCTTTAAACCGAATTTCATCAAAATCGGACAAAAATAACTCAAGTTATCTTGTTCACGGACAGATATCTATATTATTAATACGCTACATGAAACTTTGTGAACAATTAATTTTTTTTTGTTTTAAGATTTAATCCCGCATATTATATACCAAAATGTTCCTCTAGGTGTGTTGATTTGCAAACTGACCTTCCTTTTTTAAAAAAGTCTCTTGGACTCTGCCCCAGTGGGTTTTCAAGTTCTTATGTTATCCTTGTGAAGAACATATTTGTTTACATTATGATCAGCTGCATAATTTAATTGCTGGTTATATTTTAGTTGCAATTTAAGGAAATGTGTGCTACAGACATTTATGACTTGGTTAAAATTAACTATTACTATTTGAATTTGGGTTGGCGTAAATATTACAAAAGAAAAAAGCGAGAAAGTCTGGACAATTTGATATAGGCCTATACTGAAAATAAACCCGAATTAACACTGTGCTGCATTTCTTGATAAATCATTGAAAGAGCCAATTTGCAAACTATGGAAACATAGGAAATTCATAGAACACCACCAAGTAGAAAAAATAGAAATATTTTTTTTATTTATAGGTAATTGTTATTATGGACAACCTAATGCGGCTAAGAGTGGGAAACATTAGTAGAAAATGTGAAAAACAAGATCAGCTTTTGAAAAATGAAAGATATTTACAAGAAATTTTGATTATATCGAAATGTTGTGTACATCGTGAGTATTTCCATAATCTTTGAGTTGACTCTTTTAAGGTCATTGGAAATTATGACTGTTATTCATTTTAAAATAATGCCTTTAATACTTTGCAATTGCTCGAATTCAAGCAACAGGTACACTAGTTTTTTTCTCTTTTTTTAAATTTTGAACTAATTTTTGTGTGTTTATTTTTGGGTCTATTTAATTTATAAAGAGATTCTGCACATCTACAGGAAAATAGCTTTCTAACAGTATGCGTAGATATTCCCTGCGATGCACACGAGCTGAAGAAAAAGGTTTTAAAGAAACACGCTTGCCTATTAATATATAGATAATTGAACATATTCCCATATCTCTCAAGTAAACTAGTACTAACAAATATATGTATGTTTTGGAAACAAGTTTTTATGCTAACATTAGCCTATTTTATATAAATACTAGCAGAGTACCCGTCCTTCGTACGGGGTTGGAATATAAGTATAAAATGCTTATTGCAGTTATACTCAAGCTTTGCGTTTGCAATAAGGGAGGACACTATTTTTTATAAAATTAGCTTTTTTAAATTTACAGTATTCTATAGTATTACACATCTACCATAGCCATAATGTTCTACAGTAGAGTCCCGTTAGTCCGAAATGGTTGGGACCGGGCCCATTTCGGATTACCGAATATTTCGGATTAAACGTTTTTTTTATTAAATTTTTATTTTTTTTGTCTTTGGACGCAGGCACGAGCCCGGGATTGTTTTTCACATTACTTAAGGCTAGACCTAGTGGCTGCAGCATTATCACTTACAGTTATAAAATCCATTTTTGATTTGGCGGACGAAAATGAAAAATGTTACAGTAATAACAAAAATGGTGAAATATTTAATAAAATACTCCACAAAAAAGTCTATCTCACCCGGCCACTACAGAATACGTTGACAAGGTACAGCTAACTGTGTTAAAAGTTAAAAAAAAAACTTTAAAAAAATTCAAAAAATTTTAAGTTTCAAAAAATTTCAAAAAAAAAATTCAAAAAATTTCAAAAAAATTTCGAAAAATTTCAAAAAGTTTCAACAAATTTTTCATTAAATTATTAAATTAAATTATTCATGAAATTAAAAACAAACATAACTGTAAACAATCCTACTTTGACAGTTAGTTCTCATTTAGTAGGCCTATCACAGTTTTTGGTTGCTGCTTGATAGCTGTTACATAAATGCAAAAAAAATATAGTGCTGCACCCTGTTGGTAAATCTTATAACTTTTTAATGCTTTTCCATATCATAGAACCAACTTTTTTAGTTGAAACAGCTGACTAAATTCTTTAATTCCCTTTAAATATGAATACTCATAAGGTTAACATGGGGAATTACAGAGCCGCTGGGGCGGAGCCCGAAAGGATTTTTGAGATAAGAATATGCCTATATGTTAATCGGGAATGTAAGCCATCATCATGCCAAATTTCAGCCCAATCCGTCCAGTGGTTTATGCGTGATTGAACTTCAGACACCCAAACAAACAAACACACAAACTTTCACATTTATAATATTACTAGCTGGCCCGACAGATGTCATCCTGTCCAAATGTGGTTTCATGTCAAATGCTCATTCATTTTCAAGATGAGCTTGTTCGCATCGCCCAATCACGTCCTGGTTGAAGTTCGTTTGCTACGCTTTTCGCCTTTAGGTTGGAGGTCGTTCGCTGCGCTCACTTGCCTTCAAGTTTAGCTCGTTCGCTACGCTAACTCACCTCTAGGTTGAAGTTGGTTCGCTACGCTCACTCACCTTTTGCTTGCAAATTAGCTGTTGTCATAAATTTAAAAAAATAATAGTGCTGCACCCTTATGGTAAACCTATTAACTTTTTAATGCTATTGAACATAACAGAATCAAATTGTTTAGTTGAACCAGCTGTTAAGATTCTTTAAATCCATTTAAATATAAGTACTCATAAGGTTAACATGGGGAAACTCTAGAGCCACTGGGGTGGAGCCCATTGGACGGATCACAAAATTGGTGGTGGATAAACCTATTCCATGATATTGTACACGTATGTACCGTAAGTTTCGTGGCAATCGGTCCAACGGTGTACGAGCTCATAACGTTCAAACATACAAACTTCCTCGTTTATAAATATAGATATAAATATGTCTTGCCAATACTTAGCGCTTACAAAATCACAACCTGATTACAACAAATTCAGCATGGTGTGTTATATCGTAAATCAATCTACATAATTTATAAAATTATTTATTTTTCAGATATTAAATTAAAGCAATAAATAATCATGGTAAATCATGGCTAAAAAGTTTAAATAAAACGAACAAACAAAATCGTGTTGGGCCAGTCGGACTGACAATATACCGCCTGATTTGAATTTGTATACAACAGGGTTTGGAAGGAAGAATAAAGAAACTCTGTGTAGCCTGGTTATTGACGAGCCAACACAGTTCATATAATCGCTGCGAGACTGTGTCAACTTTTCTCTAGCGGAAAAAATGTATAACACTGTTGGCGGCACGCTGTCAGCCTGATTGGCCCAACGCCTTTATTCTCCAAGCTTGGTGTTGGGCTGATTGGGCTGACATGATAGTTAAAGTGTTAAAATAAATGATTTTTTCTATCAACTATCAAGTATTCAAAGGACTTTACCTGCTTTTGCAGTATTTCAATAATGTAATTCATTCCCAGCTGTTTGGCTACCAAACAAAGACGACTCTTCTCTCCAGCTACATACTCAAGTTTACCAGTGTACATGCAGCTGAAACACCAAATAAAACTGAGATTAATCAGAAACTTAAGTAAAAATTATTTTTTAACTCTTCCTGGGCCTTGAACAGATATATCCGTCTTGATAAATTTCTTTTCTGGACTGAGGTCTTAGCTATGGGACGAAAAATCGGTCGGTTGTCCGTGCGAGCGAATCATTCGCACCAAAACATTTCAAAAATGTGGATAAGCATGGGAGCGTCCTAGTTGGGCGACCGACGATGCAAGCGACGGTGCCGTACGACCGACCGACTATTGCGGTTGTAAACCTTGGAAGAGTGAGGCATTAAAATAAGGCTTTCTGGCACAGAGTTTGGCCGCATAGGCCTAATGTTTGTTGTCTTCAATGTTAATTCCTTCTTTAATTTGGCAACGATGTAGTCAAATGTATCCATTGACATCCTAGTGTAGTTTTTAAAAAGTTCAAGATACAATCTCATCAACTTTTTCATTCAAATGATGAATCTCACCAAATTCATACCTGTCCTTAGAATTCTCATTTCTAGCACTCCTGCATCCAAATATTTTTTTTTTTATCCAAGCATGAATTGTAGAAGAACTGTCTAGCAGCACGAGCTTACGTCTTTTCTCAACTGATAACATGGCAACAATGGTCGTCAGTTACTGCGACGACTGCACGGCTCAGTGTGGACACTCAATTCCGTCGTCAGACAAGAATCGCTCGCACAGACGACCGACCGATTTTTCGTCGTTCAGCTAGGGTGGGGCTAAAGACGAATATATCCGTCCAAAGAACATATTGATATAGGCCTACATTGTTTACAATACAAATGAACAATATACTGCATTATAAATGGGTTATTTTTTGTGTGATTGGCAATAATAAATAATTTGAGGGATTTCATACTTGGCATTGAAAATAATAGTAGGGAATGTGATGGATTTGATGAACCTGAAGAACAGTCTTTACATAGTGGAAGTCTTGGTAGGGAAAGGGAATGTGGACACAGGAGGGGGAACTGAATGGTTTAGATTTACTTCAGAATGATAGATAAATTTTTATGAATATAAAAAAATCAAACAAGGGAAGGAATAATAAGGTTTACTGATATGTCCCTCTACCGCCCACAAGAATACTCCAGATTATTGGCAATTTGTTCAAATTTCATGATTATCACTACGGGCGGCAGACAGATATATCTGTCTAGCTTAAGTTTTCTTTAGGCTTAACCCATCAAATCAAATTTAATTTTTTTCATAACTTTAGTAGGCCAACCAAAATTAGTTCAGTGCTAAGGAAAATCTGTCTATGATCCATGAATTATTTCAAGAAAATTAAATATAAAACATAACCTTAAAGTTTTAAAATATTTTGGCAAAAAATAATTAAGCTCCAGCCCTTTATTTAATTTAGGACTAAAAAGGGTTCAAATAAAATTGTTTACAAAATTTTATGAAATTTTGCATTAATATTATTACGGTTTGATAACATAAGTATTTTTTAACACTAATGGAAAAAAAAAACTGTAGTAGACTGAATAGTCACTATTTATCACTATTTATTCGGGAAAGTAACGTAGATCAAAAGATGAGATGCTATATGAAATAACAGGTGTATGAGTGAACTTTTAAACTATCTAGACCTCAACAAAATTAAGAAAATCCATACAATTGTATAACTACCTGTAGTCTACTTTATTTCAAAAATAGCCTACTATTCATATAATTTGACAAGTTCACTTACTCTATTAGTGCTCTAACGTGTGCAGGTTTGATGTTCTTGGGCATGTGCAGGACAACTGCGCCAGAGGCAGGAGGTAATACATCAAAAAAGCCACTACACGCTTTTAAAATCACTTTATGAGCCTGCAAAACAACATGTTTAGTCAATCCTTTATTTTTACATTACCTTACATTAAAATTCAGCAAAGCTGACGTGACAGATGAAATTGTCAGCTAAAAACAAAGCTTAAGACAAAAAAAAAAACAAAAAAAACATAAATTACTAAAATTCAGTCAACACATCGTTAATAAAAAGTTAAATAACATTATAATATGCCTTATCAATTAACAATTTAGATACGTCCAGATAATTTGTTGTACATTTGTTCCCTAAATGCTGTGGAAGATTTTCAAGAGCAGTAAGCCTGTGAATGGGCAGTTGTAAATCATCTTGGTTCCTAGTCAAGCATTGATTGTAATTTTCATTGTAAAAGTAATTTAAATTTTTTTCAATAAACAGTAAAGTTTGTAAAATATACCTCCCCCATAAAAACTTTTGAAAAATAATAACTCCAAACTAGCGTTTTTATGCAATCAAGACATAATAATTTTTAAAAAACAGATTGGTATTTTAATTGGGATTATTATATTTAACCTATTTGATTAGGGTGTTCAAAAATAAAATCATGAATTTAAATTAAGTTCATTGGACGGAACTTATCCTTACTTAGAAATCTCCTCAAAACAGGATAGCTTTACCAAGTGCACCTAAACAGTGGGAATGCCCGTTTGGGCATTATCTAAGCCAAAATTGAACAGTACAAACATTTAAATCCTTTTCTACTTTTACAGGATTTTTGATATTGTGTAATAACTAAAATCGGGGTTTGGCGGGCCTAGCAGCTTTAACTTAACTCTCTGTGTTAAAACTTACCACCCACATACATTGTAGACATATTTTTAACCGAATTAATAGTTCATTATTAGCACTAAACAACACTTCTAGGTATATTAATAAATTAACAACTCAAATACCGGCGCGCATGGCACAATAAACATAACCTCACGAATCACTACAGTATTCGCTTATTTGACTGATCAGTGATCAAATAATAATAATTGTGATGACGGATCGCAGCACTCAGCGCTCGTTGTGGCAATAGTTAAAACTACCCTACACATTCCTTCCACCCCTATCACGCTTGACAACAAAGTAAAAAAAAATCCTAGCCTGACGCCGCCACTGTCGCTACGCCACTGAGTGTAACTGAACTCTCTTTTGCAAAAATCAGCAATGCTAATTAATGGTAGAATGGCGTGATATGTTTAACCAACACATACGTACTTCCTACAGCATTCCCTGTTACAAATCTAGACCAAATAATACTCAGTCTTGAATGTTAAGCACTCATTGTAAGAATATTAAGGTAGTACCGTTTGAGAAGAAAATGGAAGAGTTAAAAAAAAATTAAAAAAAAGAAAAAACTTCAGTTTTCATATAGCCTACCAAAGTAGGCCTATGCAACATTAATGAACTTGAGATATTAATTTATGTGACAACAATAGGGTGACACAGTTATAGGTCTATAATTTACATGAAACATTTTTGTATTACAAAATTAAATTAACGTTAGTATTATGAGGACCCAGTTCTGGTGAATATCAACTAAAGCCTGATGGAAAATTACATTCACAGACTCTCCAAAGATCAAAAATGTGAAAATCATTCTAGTGTATATTTTTTTACTCACTGAATTCTTGTTCTGCTATGGTACTAAAACCTATTTGTCAATATGGGGTAGAATATATTCACCGTTGATATTTTTGTAATGTTAATTCCATTGTCCAATTACAAGATACCATATTCCAACTTAATTAGCCAAACTAGTTTATTTGTTGGCTTACCTGAATGATAGTGGTATCATTAGGAAACTTCAAAGTGACGTCACACAATTCTGACTTGTTGTATAGTTGGTTCATTTTAGAGACCACATATTCCTCCCACTTAGGGAGGATAAATGTCTTTTTCTCTTTGCTTTCTGTCACCATTTTGTTTTATTTATTAATTTTTTTTAACTTACAATATTGGCCTCAATTCTTCAATCTTTCACAACATAGCAACCAACTGAAAAAAAATAAATGGAACTTTAAAATAAAAGATATTTATTGGGCAACACTTAAGTCTCTAGTTTTTTTTTTCAATTCCTTAAATCAATGAGCTTAGGAATGGTTTTAGATATGCTCCATCCCTAAGTATTTCAGTTGACAATTTTATTTTTAACTTAAAACAATTCCTTAGATCTCTATTTATTAAATTAACTTGTTCATGGTGGTGTTATTTGGCATGCAATGCAGGGGGGAGGGCTCACCCACGCTGGTTCCAGTAATTTCTACCAGATACCTGAGCTTTTAAAATGTATTATATAGGCATTCTGAGGAAGCCACTTCACAGTTAAGGCAAAATTTCTGGCAACAGTGAATTAGTGACAACGAGGTTGAATAACATCATTAAAACTCTCTACCACATGTTCTGTACTGTATTACAATAGATTTGGAAAGCATCAATATATTACTTTAAAGTCCTTGGAGCTCGGGCGTTCTAACTCATTTAACAATTAAAAAACTATAAAAAAATCTCCAATCTCACAGTTTACTAGATATTTAAATTACTATCACTCTGGTGTTTGAAATAGTATAACATTACGTTACTAGTCCTGAAAATAGGTGTTTACCAGACGAGTGTGGTCGTTCCCGTGCGAGACGAAGTCAAGTACGGGATTACCATACGAGTCTGGTAAACACATTTTGGACGAGTGACGTACAAAATTTTACACCATATACTACTAAATCTGTACAAATCCTTATATATTACCACTGACTAAAGGACTAACAATCACTAGTCATAACCTCTAAGAGAGGTTATGTTTTTGTTTAGTAACACTCATTGCCAAATGCAGTATAATCAGCTGTTTGGTGTCCGGTAAAACTCATTACAGTACACTAGTACGCAATGAAACCCCATTTAATTAGGCTGTCGGCAAACAGCTGTTTTCTTGACTAAATCCTTGCATGGGAAGTTCGTCAAAATAGTGTAGTGTGGCGTAAAAAATATTTTGAGATGGTTAATAACTCTTCAGCGGCTGTTTGAAAATTAACATTGCTCTTGTGGTAGACAAATCCAAGTGATGGTCGTTAGCTTGCATGGACAAAATTTTTTGGTTCCCTTGGAGAACAATTCAAAACTAAAAAGAACATAATCCCAAGGTTTATTAGATTTTTAAATTATTGAGCGGAGCGAGCGAAGCTCTTATACGTCGACTCTCATGCATTTCGTAATACGCAAACTCCTCCTAGACGGTTGAACCAATCGTTTTCAAATTTTGCATGGTGATAAAGACCATATCGGTGAGTGCCAACTTCTACAGTATATGGCGTTAAAAAAGTCTCTCAGGAATCTGCCCCACTGGGTCTCAAAGTTTCAATGTAATCCTTATGGAAGCAGTATTTGACACATAAACAAAGACATATGATCAGCTGTTGACTTTTGAATTCAGTAAATATAGATATAGCTGATAGCATTATTCCACCGATATTAGAACAGAAACGGTATGGATCATAAATATAATCAAATGACGACACTAGCTTGAGGTCCGTGACGTAGGAAATGGTGAAAGAAGTAGTAAAAGTGAGCAGTCTGGAGTGTGGAAACTGTTTATGACAATTAGATTAAGGTATCTGCATCCCTAAAATTCTATGGGAAGGGAGGAAAACAGGTCCGCGACGTAGGAAGTGGTGAAGGAATTAGTCAAGGCGAGCTGTCCGGAGTGTGGGAACTGTTTATGACGATTAGATTAAGGTATCTGCAATCCTAAAATGCTATTGGAAGGGAAGGAAAAAGGTCCGCGACGTAGGAAGTGGTGAAGGAAGTAGTAAAGGCAAGCTGTTTGGGGTGTGGGATCTGTTTATGACCATTAGATTAAGGTATCTGCAATCCTATGATGCTATGGGAAGGGAGGGAAACAGGTCCGTGACGTAGGAGGTAGTGAAGGAATAGTATTAAAGGCGAGCAGTCCGGAGTGTGGGAACTTTTTATGACGATTAGATTAAGGTATCTGAAATCCTAAAATGCTATTGGAAGGGAAAGAAACAGGTCCGCGACGTAGGAAGTGGTAAAGGAAGTAATAAGGTGAGCAGTGTGGAATGTGGGAACTGGAAACCGTTTGTAGCAGTTAGATTAATGTATCTGCAATGCTGAAATGCTATGAGAAGGGATGGAAGCATGCCCACGACATAGGAAATGATGAAAGAAGTAGTAAAGGCTAGCAGTGTGAGAGTGTGGGGAATGTTTGTGGCAATTAGATTAACGTATCTAAAATCCTAAAATGATATGGAAAGTGATGAAAACAGATCCACGACGTAGGAAGTGGCTTAGGAAGTAGTACAGTATGAGCATAGTGTGAGAATCGTCTATGGCAGTTAGATTAATGTATCTTCAATCCTAAAATGCTATGAGAAGGGAAGGAAACAGGCCCCTTGACGGAGGAAGTGGTGAAGGAAGTATTAAAGGCTGGCAGTGCAGAGTGGGGGAACCGTTTGGGCAGTTAGATAAATGTATCTGTAATACTTAAATGCTATGAGAAGGGAAGGAAACAGGACGATGAAGAAGGAAATGGTGAAGCAAGTAGTAAGGCTAGCAGTGCAGAGTTTGGGAACTGTCTTTGACAATTACATTAATGTATCTGCAATCCTAAAATGCTATGGGAAGAGAGGGAAACAGGTCCACGACGTAGGGGGTGGTGAAGGAAGCAGTAAAGGTGAGCAGTGTTGAGTGTGGGAATAGATTAATGTATCTGCAATACTAAAATGCTATGGGAAGAGACTATAGACTGTAGGTCAAAATGATTACGAAGCACAAATCGATAAAATATTTTCGATACATGCAATCGTTTACAATCGAAATTTACAACTGAGTTGATAACAGCTGATTTTTACTCGGTTAGGCTAAAAACTATTTTTAATCCCTAAAGAGTAAAAATGCTACTTTAGACCCGCAACACATGCATTAAAACGACTGCTTTTACTGCAGTAGGGCCTATGACAAAAACAATATAATATGAACCCTTGATGACTCCGCTCAATTTTGTGGATGCTCCTGTTAACGCCGCCTAGTAATCACTTTGGTCTTTGAAAAAATATTTTTGGAAGATAAATAGGCCTAACGGCCTAACTCTTCAGCAGCTATTTGAAATCATCTAAGATGGCCGCTAGCCTTTATAAGAACTCTTAAGGTATTAAAATAAGAATTTTTATTGACTCCTTGCCACAACTATAATTTATTCCACTGAAAGTATTTGACCTTACCGTATTTTAGGTTTATTTGTGACTTTTCTAAAAGGAGATAAGTGTAGTTTATTTTGTAAATAATGGACATACCACTTCAGTATAGGTAATGATTATTTAAATTATAATTCCAAATGAATAGGACTTCATTTTTTTTTTAGTTTTTAGGGGTGGCCCGTTTTAACCGACCTTTTGAATTATCTGACCTAAGTCCGGTCTCGATAGGGTCTTAAGAAACTGTAAATCAATTTACATATTTTCCCTTTGATTAGGGTAAACTTACGTTTGTTTGAATGAGTTCGCAAACCAGCATAATTGGACTATGGGAACAGAGGTTTATGGAAGGTTTTATGAGACTGTGACGGGTGGCGTCGTCCTGTAATCTAGCTACAGTAGAGTCCTGCAAACTTGGCCCTCGATAACCCATCAGTCTGGATAACTCGGCCATCACCTGGCTCAGAAAATTAGTGATTTTTTGAGTCCAAGTAAAACATGGACGCAAGCCAGCTCAAGTCAAATCGTTCGCAACTCGTACCAAGGATTTGTTGTACTATCTGACGACTTAATACTGACTTGTAATATAAATATAAATAAAAAAGCAGGTTAAAAAGCTTAACAATTCTATTGTTCTTATTTTTAATCTAGTTCCCGATAACCCGGCATTTCACAAACTCGGCACCCTTCCAGTCCACATTACGCCGAGTTTGCAAGACTCTACTGTACTAGGAGGTCACGAATTGTGGTTATTAGGTAGGTCCCTTAGTTGCCATCAGCTGTATGGGCTGTTAATTAACAGCTGTGTGTAAGAAATTTTGGCCTTAGTCACTAACAAGACTACAAGATCGCGCCACTCATCCTACACTCATCTTCATTCATACTTGGCTTCATACAAAAGTTCGGGGACATATTTTTTTGCGAAAAAATCGATTCATGTTAAAATATTTTTTATGATAGGTAACAAAAAATATATATATTTTTGAGTGAGTGTGAAAATAAGATTACCTATGTTATAAGGAAGATTTTAATATAAGTTACCATGGTTACAGTACTACTAAAACTAAAATAAAAAAAATATTTTAGGTAAAAATAACAGTTTTATCATTGTAGCCCCGCGAGTCAAAGTAGCCCCGGTTGACGGTATCCGTTCTAGATCCGTTACCACTTGCTTACCCTCTTATGTTCCCAACCGGAGACTTTGGTAGGGGCCCCTAATATAATCACACCTAAAACAGAACATATCGTAGAAATAATTTAACAATGCTAGAGTACACTTGTGTGTATCGTACTGGTTGGCGTCAAGAGGGATTTAGCTTGCTACCATAGGTCTGAAAAACTCACTTTACAGTGTGTAGTTGACATCTACGTGCTCATAGAGTGCACCCGCCTACAGTACATAAGAGATGTACCGGTAACCAAAGCAGTACGAGAGCGGATCTATATTTAAATATTGTAGATAACTTTTATAATTTTTTTTCAACTAGGCCTAATATTTTTCATCTTTCTATTATCAGTCATAGAAGTTACTTTAGAATGACTCTTTGATTGAGGTCTTGCTGTTTGTGTTTTTGTTCTTTATTCTTTTATTACCAGTTGCATTTTTGCTCATTTTCGAGCATATTGGCTTATCTAGGAAGTACATTAACTTAAGTCAGTTCATGTTATTCATTGGTCACTGTTTGTTACTTAAACTTGCTCAGAAAAGTTAATGAACTTACATTATGCAAAAAAGGCAACAGTTACAAGTCACTGCCAAAATATGCTTAGTTTTGGAAACACATTAAGAGAGTTAGCCTAAAACGCTAAAATTAAGGATGATAAACATGAAGTTACAGTGTACTGTAATGCTTTAGTTTATACATTCTCTTTTAAAGCAAGACAGGGTTGAGCCTAATTTAATCATTTTAGTTAAGTTATACCAAAATAAACATGAGCCTGGTCTTATCTGCTTGATACTAAACTGAACCATATTAAAATTTGATAGGCCTAGTATGGAATGTACAACCCTCTAATAAGTTATTTGATGTAAACTAAGTTAGCAGTATTTTGATAAGAATGGAAAATAATCAGGTCACAAAGAAGCCATAGCATAAGTTAATGGAGACAAGTATAATGTGCGCAACAAGAATGCTGTGTTAGTGTGTAAACAAACGAAAGTCTATAAATATCAAACAAGTCTATACAATTCAAAATAATTTTAAATCTGCTTTACCTCGGGAACCAGTTAGTATTTCAATCTTTGGCACTAGGCAGCTCCATCTCTTAGAACTAGAAAACATTATTGAACAAAACATCACGTAGTCCTTACTATGGCCGCAAGATTGAAGCACTGGTGTAGAGAGATGTGTTCTGTTCTATCGCAGTACAAATAAAATAAGGAAATTCGCTAAAAACTGGAATAACAAATTGATTCTACAATTTACGAGAGTTAATATCCTAGAGCCACATCCATTATCATATTTTTCGATCACGATATAAATTGTCAACAAAAACTAAAAAGACTTTCTGTTTTGGTTGAGGCCAATCAATAAAACATTTTGATAGATAGAAACCAGAACAAATTCAAGACACGTTACAGTGTTCTCAACCTCAGCTCATGGAATGTTGTGTAAGATATGTCACAAATACTATAACAAATAATCTATCTATATATATTTAATAAAATAAGAGTTTCCCATGTTACATCCCTTTCCCAGTCGTCTTACTTAACCAATTTGTACAATTGAAGTGTAATTTAAATTTTGATTTTTTTTTCCTTTCAGTTCTATTATTGACTTTGGTAATTTATTGAAAAATATTGCTCCCTTGACATAAGGGATGTTCTCTGTTCTCTGAAAATAAGGGAGCAATATTTTTAAATAAATTACCAAAATCAATAAAAGAACTGAAAAATAAAAAATTCAAAATTGTTTTTAGCGAATTTCCTCATGGTAAGACCTAGACTCGGGACCGATTTACTTTTTCGTTTTGAGGTCCCCAGAAGCCAAAAACACCATCCGTTCAAATTCATATATATATATTTATATATGTGTCCGTTAGCGCGATAACTCGAGTAAATATGATCCGATTTTACAAACGTGTAAACCAACGTTTATTCGAACGAGTTCGCGAACCAACATAATCGGACCATGGGAACAGGGGTTTATGGGGGGTTTTATGGAGTAAAAATGGGTTTTTCCCATTTTTACCCTAAAAATAAAAATTGTTGCAATTTATTTCTCAACCATATTGTTGAGCTTAAAAAAGAAATAATTTAGTATATTGAAGCGCTGTTTTATGCCTAACAGTCACGGAGAAAATTCAAAAAAAGTGTAATTTAAAATTCCCATGTTATTCTTATGGAGAAAATGAAAACTGTTGTAGTTTACTTGTTTATGGATATATGTTTATACAATTTTTTCAAATTTATTTATTTCATTCTATCCTATTGACATATGGTCAAAAACACTTTTTACCTTCCCCGTAGCAGCAAACCTAAGCACTGGTTAAATCTAATGTTATTTAAATTGGGAATAAATATGTCTTATTTATGGAAATATTTTAGTAAAAATGTAATCAGACAAGTTAAAATTCGCTTAGTCTGTAGGTTTGCTGCGGCGGGGGTATTTTTTACTATTTGGCCAATCAATAAAATGTCTAGCCAGACTTCAGGATATCGAAATAGTGAGTATATTACGTTTTACGGTTTTATACGTTACAAGTCCTGAAAATAAGTGTTTACCGGACGAGTGTGGTCGTTCCCGTGCGAGACGAAGTCGAGTACGGGATTACCATACGAGTCCGGTACACACATTTTGGACGAGTTACGTACAATAGTTTACGCCATACTAATAAATCTGTACAAATCCTTATATATTTCCACCAACTAAAGGACTAAAAATCGCTAGTCATAACCACTGAGCTATAATAATATCTCAATGGTCATAACCTCTAAGAGAGGTTATGTTTTTATTTATACCCAATCATTGCCACTCAAATACAGTATAATCAGCTGATTGGTGTCCGGTAAAACTCATTGCAGAACAGTATTAATTAACGCAATGACACCTCATTTGAATAAGCTGGCGGCAAACAGCTGTTTTCTGGACTAAATCCTTGCTTGGTAAGTTCGTCAAAATAATTTAGTGTGGCGTAAAAAAGGTATGCTTATAAAGCCCCCCACACACTACCAGACCAGACCTCCAGACCAGACCGTCTGGCTGCAACCAGACCGTCTTGGACGGCTCTACACACTCCCAGACCAGACGGTCTAACATTCGTAATTGAGAGACCGTGGTGAGAACTCCAACAAATGGATGAAGACTGTCACGATGGTCGGCCGTCTGACAGACAGTGCTACACACTCACAGACCAGACAAAAATAGTGGTGGGGGAACCTCAGACCGTCTGTGGTCTGAGGGTTCAACCATCAGACACGCAGACAGTCTGGTCCGAGAAAATCGGTCTGCAGACAGCCCCACATACGTTAAGGCTGGTTTTATGCACCGCGACAGTCGCGAGTCGCGAGTCGCGCCACGTCTTGCGGCTGACAAAAATGTCACGCGACTGCGACACTTTTTTGTCGCGTAAACTCACATCCGGTGGTGGGGGAATTAAAGAAATCAGTCTGTTCTCAATCCAATGTTGTGTGTTGTGTTTTGATGTAGAAGTGATTATTAAGTTGTTTAAATATAGACCCTGTAGTGTTGTACACGTTAGTGACAAAACCCCAGTTATTTAAACAACACATACAATTTACAGTTGGAATTGGGTCAACCCTCTTAAAAATGTCATTACATAATATAATTATGTAATTTATATTACAAATAAAGAGTAAAGAACTCATTTATATACTAATTATTAACATTAATTAATACAAATATATGGAGAATATACCACGTGGAGTATGAAAAATACTACTGTCGCGCCGCGACTGTCGCGGTGCATAAACGTGCCCATTTGATCCAATAGAACTTGAACCGCGCGCGACACATTTTTTGAAGCTGCGATTCTAAAACCTGTCGCGGGTATTTAGAGTCGCTCCGCGGCAGTTTGTCGCTGTCGCGGTGCATAAATGCTCCCATTTAACTCAATAGAACTTGAGTCGCGCCGCGACACGCGACCTGCGACTGTCGCGGTGCATAAAACCGGCCTAAGACAAGTGCCAGACGCCAGACCAGACGGTCTGGTCTGGAGGTCTGGTCTGGTAGTGTGTGGGGGGCTTTAGTATTTAGTTTGAGTAGAACTTTGTAGAGTAGAACGCATGGTTTTATACTCAAATCTGTATTTTTGCATGGTTTGCTTTGTTAATAAGTGACTATAACATTGATGATTGCAATACATGTTTTTTTATGTTAACAAGCAAACAAAGACATTTCATTTCAAATAGACGAGGAGTACGCCATGGCCACCTTTAACTCCAGTGTTTAAACCGCGTACTCGCTCCGAAGTCGCGTATGAGAATGAAATGAACGAATACAATCCCATAAAACTATACGTACAAATAATAGTAATACCAAAATTCTTATATTTTTTCAGTGTTTCCATTCTCGGGATTATTATCCCGAAAACAGGATTTTTAGACCACGATCGGGATAAAACGGGATTTTCAGCTATTGCGTTTTTTTTTTATTATTTAACTTGAGGGGAAAACGAACTACAATTGATTAAACTAGTGTAGCAAAAGATAATAGCAATGTTTAAACAACTATTTAAACATGGTACGTCAAATATAACACTCGGAATTTAATAAAAAAACATGCGGGATAAAACGGGATTTTCCATAATTCAAAATTGGGATTAAACGGGATTTTTCGACCCGGCAAGCGGGATTATTTTTTTGGTCGTGTGGATACACACTAGCATCTCATTTTCCTCACCCGCAAACTGATGAGAACCTTTTCTGCGAAAGAGTGGGGGATTGTGGGAGAGCCCCTAACGTCGATAAGAAAATCTTTAAATTTATTTTATATTTAGTTAGAAAATTAACTTTTTAACTATGAAATTAATTTTAAAATATTTAATTATAAAATTAAACTGTCATAACCTAACCTAACCAACCAAACTTGCTGATAATATAAAAAGATATAAAATGAAAATCGAATTAAGGTTTACTTATAACTAATTTTTAATTATAAAATTAATTTTAAAATATTTAATTATAAAATTAAACTGTTATAACCAAACCTAACCAACCAAACTGGCTGATAATATAAAAAAGATATAAAATAAAAATCTAATGAAGGAGTTTACTTATGATTTATTTTTAATTATAAAATTTGTTATTATAAAAAATAAAATCATAAATGCCTCAAATCCTAACAAAAGATGTACATTTAAGAAGTATTCGCAATCTAAGCAAAACCTTGGACAAAAAGTAAAGTGTCGTCGGTGGGATTTGATCTGGGGACCTCCAGATCACGAGTCCGAGATGCTATCAACTACGCCACGAACCCCGACGGAATCAATTCGTCTTGTTACGGTAATGGTGTTCCCTAAAGAGCAGAGTGACGTCATGCCCCCCACTCCTTCTCTAAAGAGGTTTTCCAGTTTGCGGGTGGGGAAACCAAGACGCTATAGTGGATACACTGCTCAGAATCAGATGCCAGCAAGCAGCTTTTGATTTTGCTTAAGCCCCAAGATAGATCAAATTAATAATTTTCACTAAACAGGGTTTCGACTGTACTTTGGGACATGAGGCAGGGCCAAAAATGAAGGAATTCGCTATATCATGATAAGAGAGCCTTGGTTAAAGGTCATAAGTAGGTTGGAACACCCTTTGATCTTTACCGACTTCTCTGGTCCTGATGGGACAAAATTTACAACACAAAATTTCTGTTGTAAACACTAAAAAACTGTTTCCAACATAAAAGGTTTTTGTTCAAAAAGTAGTGTTATTAGGAAACATTAGTTTTTGTCAACATGTGTTCCTTAACTCCGGTGGGTAAACGTTGTTAAACGCTGGCATTAAACGTGGTTTAATGAAAGCCAACATTATGCATTTGTTTTTAATGTACCGTTTAGATAACTTTTTAACAGAGGGCAGGGGGCAGGGCTTATAAATGACCATGGGATTGCATCGCAGCTGGAACAGCTTATTGTGCGCCCTCATTCACAGGTCCTCATTCTCCGTCAAATCCCAGGTCCTTGGTGAACCATGAGATCCTTTTGACTATGATAAGTTAACGTGTTCTTCCCTTTGATCTCCAGTCGATAGGCCAAGGGATCTCATACGCAGACCTTGACATGGTACCTGAGTGAAAATTTAAAAACGTACGTTTTCATGTCCCTGGCCTTTTACTTTGTAGATACTGGATTTGTAGTTTATTATTATGTGTTTTAATATTTTTTGGGACGGAGGCAACATGTTATATGTCCAAAGACGATTTAGCATGGATCTGAGAGCAGATAGTTTGTATTTCCAAGAATGGTTAGAATTTGATGGTATCATTAGGTCTGATTGAGTTGGTTTTCAGTAAATTTTGAAATCGTGTTATTGTTCATGTTTTTTGAATCGTCTTTTGAACATTCCAATGACAA